TCTGGACTCTGAGGTGGTCAGTCCATTGTTCTGAGAACACTAGCGGCTTCTTTCTTTAATTTCTTTGTTTGTTTGTCTGTTTATTTTTCTCAATAAGAGCTTTTTGACCGCTCCACATCCTTTAAGACTTATAGTGTTGAGTTGTCTTCTCACAGTGGAAGGATGGACAGAAACACCTGTGGAGTTTTTCAGATCTGAAGCAAGAATAGAGCTTGATAGTTAAAAGCTTTAGGTTTTTTTGCTTGTTTTCCTTTCATGTTCTCCTTCCTCATACATCTCCTGAAAAACAAATAACTTGGACTTCATGGCATCCTTGTCTGTGTGTATCAATGTTTGTATACTGTACATTTGAAAAAGTGAACATAGCCAATAGTGCCAATAGTGTAGTGAACCAGCTTTGGCTAATTACTTTATTGAAAAACAAGAGCTTGTTTTATGCCTGTATCTCTGCCTGGATAGCGATGTACACTGGGAAGGGATTAGAAGTGAATTTGTTCTCAAGAAATGTTTATTTACAGCTTCTGCAAGTAAACATTGTAATGAACAGTTCACGCATACAGTTTCTATCGGGTGATCAAAAGATTGGCAGTGTCATGCAAGTTACACAAAGGTTTATGTGGGAATTCCAGAGAGTGAGTCTATAGAATGTACAACCAGAGATGCTTTCCAGAAAACAGTGGCAACAATAGAACATGCATTATAATCCAGACAGTGGTGGAGTTACCTAAAGCACATCTGGCCAAAGGATATTTCTGCATGAATTACAGTCTCCATGAAACCAGCCAGACAGTTGACAAGAGGACATATGCATGCACTCATGGCTCAGTGGATTTTGAAAGGTAACTGAAGGCCAAGTTTCTGCACTGTGTCAGTTTAATTGGTTGTTATCTTCTGGTTCCAATTGCCTGTAAATAGAACCATACTGCATGAAGTCGATCAGGGACCAAACATTACTGCAGGTAGATTTCCCAGCTAATTTTCGGAATGGTTGACCGACAGGTTTGACCTCCTATGCCATAATCACCAATTAGAGTGTTTTTTATTTATTGGTGAATTTATTCGTTAAAGCTTTGGTGACACATTTCCATTCTATTTTGGCCAAGAAATGCTCAGAGTGCTGTGGGTGTTAGACAGTCTGGCTTTGTCCACATTTTTAGAATCAAACATATGACGCAAACTGTGAGTTTTAAAAATAATAGTCCTTCTGTTGTTAAAGTCTTTGCAATTAGCAAATGTCTGAAAGGTCTTCCCTATATATTCCAAAGTCTGTGAGTACAGTTGGGCTACTGAGAGGCTTTAACAACTCGTCCTGTCAACACCCTGCTTTGCAGACTGAATGCCACAGATGGTAAGAGAACTGGCTAGCAATGCACTGGGTGATGGGGGAAGATGGGGGGGGGGCATCCTACCCACCCAAAGAGAGCGAGGCCAATTGTGCTCTCTTGGACTTCCAGCCGTGGATGGATGTAGCATCACCAGGGATCTTGCAATCTCCTGGTGATAGGGCCAACACTTAGATGGTTGTGTTTCTGGGAGCCCCAGCCTTCTGTGCTTTTAATGCTAAATCTTTTTTTTTTGGCTTTTTGTTTTTCTGCTGTTGTCTCCTGTGCTCTCTGTGTTAGATAAGGTAGTTATAGAGTAGTTTTTCTTCTTTGTCAAGTCCAATTTGGTCCAATTTATAAGATTTTTAGATTAAAAGATTCCAAAATGAACTAAAATTATTAGAAAAATGTGAAGTAATCACAGTTTTGACTTTGTGTCGTTTAGGTCTATGTAATGTGTTGCAGAGATATCTACTTGTGAAAATCTAGCTGTATACCTTCCTCTGAAAGGCAAATTTTTTACAATGTTCAGTGCAGGCAGCTGTTCGCTATTGCTGAGCAGAATTTAGCTGGTAAAAACAAAATTTTGTTTCCCGTTCGAATGGTAAAAAGTACTGTATGTAAAATGCTGTACACAGACATGAGGATAGCCAAATGAGAACTTGACTGATAGAATCCTGATACTTGTGGCCAGCTTTGTGTGCTAAAGATAAGAGCATCTGAGGCTGAGACTACCCTCCAGGTGACAGACCAGGGTTTAATTCTCCACCTGGTCAAGCACATCAGGCCAGAGTCCTTGAGCAAGACTCCTGCACTACATTCATCTACCTTTGTAACATTAAGCAACTCTGGATATGAGTATCTACCAAATGTGTAAATGTAAATATTAAAAAATGTGACTGTTATTTTCATGGTGTGTCAAATGCATTTAATCAGCCAAATGAGATTCAGTTTGGGGAAGGAGGGCACAATCTAACATGTTTAGTTTTTTTGCTAAATAATTCTAAAAGTGTCTAAGCAAGATTAATCACATTTTTATACAAATACCCTGCATATCTCTGCTACAAATGAAAATGTAAACTTTCTAGCGTCTATCGTCTGCAAACAGTCGTTGTAATAGTTGCCAAAAATTGTCATAAGTTCATGCAAACACAATTAATTCAGTAAAATTCTACATTGTTTGAAAAAGACAAGATTTCCAACCTATATACATAAGTAATATACAAACTAACCCTTTAGGGTCTGAGGGCATTTTCTTGATTTTTGCATGTCTTCTTAAATTCGCCTTTAAATGCACTTGCATATAACATGATACCCATGTTTCATATGAAAATGCTCCGTTATCTTCATTGCTACTTTCCAAAACTGCTGCAGCAACTTCTTTGCACACCATTTCACGTGTCTTTGATGTCAACTGAATGAAGAATGGAGTAAGAACGGGTAAGTCCTTAGTGATTTCCTGAGTGTACATTGGTCAGTTTCACAAAAACGTAGACGGACACATGAATCCTCCAGTTATATATTGTGAGAGGCAGATGGCGTGTGTCTCAACCCCTCTTCATAGCCTCATAACTCTGGATGCAATGAGATGGAATGGAAGCCTCTACAGATGGCGCCTCTAAAGATTCAGGAAACTTTTTAACTGTATTTGCAATATCTGTATATCACTATAGTATCGCGGAAGTGGAAGAACTAATGCCAAAACAATAATATTTAAATATATTGTACTTACAACACATCCATGGAATGTTTTAAATGACTGTGTAAAAAAACTTTTAAAAAATCTTCCAAAAAATTTTAGCTTTTTCAGATTTCTATATGGATATATGAACTTCCCTATATGAACTTAACTTGGGAGGCTTAGTTTTAAGACTGTGTAAAAACTAACCATAGTGTGGAGGCTGCACTTTAGTCTAGTTATTTACTTGCTTCAACACAATCCTATGTAACAGCCACCAAGGACCATACATTCAACACTTTAATTAAAAAAATTGTACATTTATGGTATAAAAACAGGGTCTTCAGAGTAAATCTTGAGAAACATCTGTCTGATTGATACCGTTGCTATGGAAATATGAGAAGATGACCAAATACATGTCTTACTCCAAATCTGTTAACTATAGAAAGTCCATGTTACATTTTACCCTGTGTTAGTTTGTGTCCTGCTGTCCTCTACCTTCATTTAAGGCTGTTGATTTCCCTACAAGGCATAGGCCTGGTTTACAGTCATATGTAAGGATGTCACCAGTCAAATTATGTTTTGTTGATTTTCGAAGTGAAAATAAGTTAACACTTCCTTTACAGACAATGCACTTCTGCACATTTTAATGCAAAATTACTGTTTATTTACTGAATTTACTAACATAATGAAAAGAAAGAAAATGAGGCATGTGCAAAAGTTATAGCACCTTTTTATATTTAATCTTTTATTTTTTCCAGTATTTAAAAATGAAACTCTGCAAATAAATAGAAAATGTGCATCAGCGTTTGTATAAAAATGACATATGTGAGTTTATTTATATTAACTTATATATTTTAACTTATTTTAACTTATTTTAACTTAGAAAATCAACAAAACGTGGTATTTGATGCAACCTCTTGCGTACGACTTTACAAGTTTACCAATAGGTTATGGTAAAAGCTGCTGTTAGCCAAATAACTAATAGGAGGACAGGTAAGTGACATTGCTATTGAACAAGCCTCCCCTTTTGGCTTAGGTTATCTAGTTAACTGAGAAATCCTTCTCTGTGAAATGCCCCTTGGGGTGCTGATGTATTTACGAACAGGTTGTGGTAAAAGCTATTATATGGTGGTGCATTACAGCCAACTTCTGAATCCCACATGAATCCCTGTTTGAATACTAGCCTTGGTTTTCAGTCACACTCTGTGATCTACTAGGAAAAACATATTGTATCACTTGGAACTCAAATCTACTACTAGAGTCAAAGAAGGGAATCTAATACTATGAAACTCTTTCAACCCATGCATTTGACCTCCCTTTAGAGCCATGTGTCCTTTGAGCCTTTTTGCAGTATGCTCTTTGATTGTTTGTCTAGTCCAGTGGGATGAGGGCAGGTGCAACAGTGTTAACCTCATTATCTGTTATATGGCTTGAAGGTATCCAATTAACCAACTAAGTTTGTTGTGCACTGGCCTGTGGGTGGCATGAAAAAGAGAACTTTGGAGGCTCACATTTGTTGAAACAAAACAAAAATATCCCTTAAAATACAATGCTCATTTCATTTTTCTGAATATTTTATTATACACTGCCATGTAGCATTATGGAAATGTTACACATCAAACATTTTCTCACACTGAAATCAATTTTGATCCTCAAGTATTTATTCATAGGGTGATTGAACACCAAGCAAGTGCAACTGCATATGTTTGTCACTGGTTAGATATAAATCAGAAAATGATCACGTCAGCTAAAATGTGCTTGCAGAAATATTGCTCTCTGTTTGTTCCATAAATTATTAATTATTTGTGTTCTGGTAAGTGTAAAAGATTGTGACATATCTCTTGCAAAAAAGTCACTTTGGCTTGTGGCATAGCAAGATGGTGAGATTCCTTAGCAATATACAGTAAGCAGGTAATACATAGATTGTAAAACATACTTAAACTTGCACAAAGATTAGCCCAACTTTTAACAGTCCTACAAATGACTGAATGACTGGCTCATGAAAGGTGTTTTTATTTTTTTTTTGGTGAGGGCTCTCAAGTCATTTTCAGAATTATTGCACGTCAAAAAAACAACATATAACCTATTTACAAACCATGGATTTAAACATGCTAATTCACTGTCGTGCATAAAGGTGGTTGGGAAACGCTCTATTTTATGTTGGAAATGTTCAAGAGGTAGTTTTTAAGATGGGATCGATCTTGGTGTCTTTAAATGCGCTAACTGGAAAATCCAAACTGAGGACCTAAGGCTGCTGTGTCATCCATCGTAATCTATTCCATCCAAACTCTTGCCATAGGTTCTGTTTAGTTTGCTGGCTAGATCTGCTTTCCTTGGCCATCGTTAGCTCTGCTTTGGTCAGACTGAAGAATGACTGGGTTACATCTGGCATATTTTAATTTGGAAAAAGGGAGAAGACGAAGTAGCATCCTTTTTTGCTCCATTAAGAGTCTGGTCCATTGCACCCCACATGTGTCCTCTTCTACAGTAATGTCTTTGACAGAATAGCAGAAGCCATCTGTCATTACATCTAAGCTCATTAGGGTTTTTTTTTTAAAGATGAGTAAGAAAGCATTCCATGATAAAGAATTTATTCGGCCTGTTCAAATATTAAACTTATGTGACAGAAGAAAGACCCAAAGACTCTGGTGGTAAATGTTGACCATTTTCATTACTGTAATAAATAAATGGATTTATCCTGAATGTTGCTTTGGAAGCAATTGCCCTGAAGATTAAACAAATGTCTCATTTTATCAAGTGATTTTTTTTTTCTCTTGGAATGAAGAAGCATGTCAATTCCCTTCAGACTCCCGACAGAATATGTCCTTTTGCTTGGAACAGGGTTTGTGACAAATAAATGGGTCTTGCCTCAGAAAACACAGTATCCAACATGCCCAGACTGACCAGGTTTGTCATTTCCATCATCATTTTTGTGAATCTCATGTCTTCATCTTGAATCTCCCCAGTGACCTTTACATGGATGAGAGGACAAACAGGTCAGTCCCTGTTTAGAGACACATTTGATTTTAAATGGAAATAAAAATCAAATGTACACAGTTCACTTACCCCAGATGTAGGTGATCAGCCAAAAAATGTTTGGTGGCCAAATTTTGCTTCTTTAGTTTAGTGCTGGAGCTACAAGGCTAACATACACTATTAGTCAATAGTTACCAAAATCTTTTCTATAAATACATCCCCAAAACTTCTCTCAACCTACTTTAACCACATTCAGGTCTTCATTAAGGTCGCACAGACTTGCCAATGTGGTACAGGACTAAAATCCGCTTCCCCCCTGGAGTCCACTTTGCATGCATGCACATCACACAGGCATATGGACACTAAATTACATTTGTGATTTCTGTTGTTTCAAACATCTATCATAAAAAAAAATCAAGGTTAACAGTTATTTATAAAAACAAACATCAGAAATCATGAACACAGTCTGTGGCGTCCTGCATGACATCTGTCGTCTAAAGTGACTTCCCTCAGTGTTCAGCAACACAGTGAAAGTTTGTTCATTATACTAGTTCATAAGTCTGTGCAATCTTAATAAAGACCTAGATGTAGTTTGAGCTGGGTGAAAGAAGTTTTGCGGATGTATTTATGGACTAATTGCCATTGACGTCTAGTGTCTGTTAGCAATATTAGCCTCACAGCTCCAGTGCTAAACTACTGAAGCAAAAAAAGAATATCAAACATGTCTTGGCTGATTGACAACATTTTGAGGAAGTTGAAAATTGTGTACATTTTGATTTTTGCTGAAACATGCAAAATAATATAATAGATTAACCTCTAGACAGCTCTACTGCCTTGGTTGAGTCCGTGTCCCAGTTCTCCTCCTGCTTGCAGTACCAGTTCTGCGGCCCTGGGTCCTGCCCTGTTGGCCAGAGGGATATGCCACTACCTGGGCTGACCCTCTTCTGACCTGCATTCCTTGTGATTCCCTCATGTCCCGAGCCATCTGTGCCAAGGTTTGGCCTGGATTCGTTTGCAAGCGCTGGAACAGACTCTCACGGTTTACAGTTCTTTTTGGGCAGCTGAAAGTTAAAGCCACTCCAGATTCTGACTTCATCTCCCTGGAGAAACCATCTGATGTTCCATCAAAGCAGCGACCTATGGCAATCTCCTTGGCAATTCGTGGGTTCTGGTCTGTGACAGTGTAGATTCCGTAGTTGTGCCCTAGGGGGTCCACAGGGGCTAACATGTTGAATGCATGAGACTCATTGTTCTGGCGAACAGGTGGGTGTTTTGTAAGGTACTCTTGCAGGAGACTGTTGATGCCTATTCGCCGACAGTTGCCTTGTGGAATGACAGTAATGAGAGACCGGTCAACAGCAGCTTGGTCAAAAAGCATACCGCCACACTTGAACTCCAGGCAAGCTGCAGAGGTGTTGGGATGGCTCAGGTCACGAGTGCTGCGGATGTCTCTAATTCCATACAGCTGACCTCTGGTCATCGGATGGGTGCCACCAAGGTTCCTTGACCGTACCATGACTTCTGTTGCCCCGTGGATCTTCACTTTGATGTAGCAAGCTCTGAACTCCTGAGGATTTGGCCACCAGGATAAGTAATCCCCAGTCCATGTTGTGAGATCACTCTCCTCAAAAGGTACCACGTTGTACTCATATTTGTCTTTCTCCACACGGAAGAACCGAAAATGATTTGCATCAACAGGTGCATTTTCACATGCAATTAAATTTTGATAAGGATATATTGGTCCATTGGTTTCATCAAAATTATTAGGATTAGGTTTGGCCAAATTTATTCTGAAGGCTGTTTTTTTAAGTGCCAGATCGTCATGATCTGAACGTTGGTAGTCTAACTTGTCTAGGTATGGTTGCGACACACCAATAATATTAGGATTCATCTTTGGAGCAGATGGGGCTGCCTCAAGTTCTTCACCGCCCATTATTGCTGTGACATAAGCTGTATATGCATCAGGTCTCTGAGCATCACAGAAGGCTGGGAGACAAGCTCCATTAGGTCCTGTTATCACACTGTCAAATCGTCCCCAAGCTCTAGGATTTGAGGAATAGCCAGGCTTGGGTTCCAGGTTTATTAGGTTGATGACTACTCCTTCAAGTTGCTCAGTAGGCAGGAACTTGTCACTCATGTACGCCCGTACCTTCACATAGCAGCGTCGACTTTCAGGTACATCTAAGTTGAACAACCTACGTTCTCTGATTTCCATGTTTCCAATTAAGAAAGTGCGCTCTTCTCTTTTTCTCCTTCCATTTCCACCAGTGGTAACCTGAGTAGTTTGGAAGTCACCTTCCTCCTCCCAGATACCTGTATCTGGATTAAGAGACCACAGTTTCATAGCAGGAATATGTTCTTGCATTTTGACATGCTCTGTATCCAAGAGCACTTGGACTTCACCAGCTCCAAGCACTTCCTGGTTTGCCTCATCTTTGAAATCAACAGAAAACATTCCATATGTCCTCAGAGGAAGAATGTCACCCTCATCACCCACAAAGTTTAAGTCTCCTGGTGCGGCGGCAGCTGTTGTGATGTTGCGAGGATCAAAGAATGTGACGCTGGCTTTAACTGTGCCCTCGTACGTTTCCCCAGTATTTTTGTGGAAGGAGTTGGGAGGTATGACCAGCTGACCGATGGGATCTTCGCCTTTTATTTCACCCAGATAAATAGTGTTGGTCTCTCCAGCATCAATGTCAACTGGTTCTTGCTTTCTCATGACTTTTACGTCATGGTATACTGCACCACCTTTTCTATCAAAGATGAACACTTTGAGGGTATCTATGAACCTTTGTGATGGGTCTACAAAGTTCACTACTAGGCGCTGGGTGTCAGAAGGGACTTGAATTGTGAATCCACCCTGATATCCTGTGGTTCCTACTCGTTCCTTTCCCATGTAAATGTGTCCGAAGCGCAAGGGTTCATTGTTGTCAGCCGCAACCACCCTACCTCGTACTAGCACTTTGGGCTCCACACACTTCTGGCAGCCACATTCACTCACAGCTTTTATTGGTAAAGTGTAGCTCCCACAGTTGATCTCCTTTGCCTCCATTTGCTTCACCCCACAGCAGAAACCAGACCCATCTCTGCATCGTAGGTCAAAGTCCAGTGATCCAGGACATTTGTTGTGAGGACAGCGACCAGCATTGTAGAACTTTGATTCTGTACCTGGCTGTTTACAGTCTATCGGCAGTCTAATCAGGTGACTTTCAGGTGTAGCATTACATGCTGGGGCTCCTTTAGCTGCAGAACAAGAAAACAGAAAACACAAAGCAGAAAAAAGTTAGCTTACAACATAAAACACATATATTTTTGCTCATTTCATAATCTAATTCTTAAGGATAACTGTGATGGCTTACAGATACATACCGTTCTCTCAACATAAATGCAAAAGACAAAGCATGCAATCAGATAGTAAATCTGAAAGAGTATAAACAAAATGGCAAAGCACATCTGCAACAAATCAATAAAGTAGACTGGCATGATGAAACATAATTACAATAGAATGAAAAGAAAATATAACAAGTCACTTATCATTGCAAATCACAAGCATATGCTACAAGAGAACAGTTGCAGCACTTGAGAAATAAGAACCTAGAGAGGTTCCTCTAGAAAAGTTCCTCTAGAAAAAATAACACAACCAGTTTAATGAATTCACAAGACAGAATATTGTTAAGATGACACACAAATAATGACACTGTAACTGTACCACAGTTACATTGGCAAGCACTTTTTGGGGAGGGGATACTTTAAAATGTATGCTGGTACAGATTATTGATTACCTGTTTAAAAAAGGTAATCTGAAATCTATTTCAAAAGATTACAATATTGATGTAAAGTATTCTGATTACATTTCTTTTGGATTAGTTGCCCTAAAGTCATATAGTTAAATAAATACAAGTTTAAAAAAATTAACCAGACATCTTTAAACATGGCAAATAGTAAAACTGCTCAATTTTTATGAAACAAAATGGCATATGGCTTTTGGAGATGCTAGTGGCATACTAATCCTTTGGACATTTTTGTACAAGTTGCTAGGACACAACTGTTCTGTTAGCTTGTCTGTTGCTTTGTCAACCACAGAGACAACAGAGACGGGTGGAGTGAGTTTATGTTGCCTGTGAAAGTTTGCAAAAATTTAGTAGGAGGCAAATAAAGCAATGTTGTATTCTTGCAGTCTGAAGAATCATGTTTGGTGTGCAAGAGGGATTTTATTGTACACGTATTATACACATTTTAATGCACTATTATTGTTTACTTGTCGAATTTAACATATAAAGGAAGTAAAAACATAAAATAACCTGTGCAAAAGTTATAGCATATTCAATATTTTATGTTTAATTTTTCCCAAAATGTTGAAACTCAGCAAATAAAGATATTGTGCACTAAATGCCAATTTAAGTCCCCTTAGAGGATGTATTAACATGTAATTTGACAGGGTGTTCAAACTTTTGCATCTGCTGTTGCTTCTGTAGTGCATTTTATCTGATGTGTAGTGCTTTCAGATTTGTAGAGATTTGTTTATTTTAAGTATTTTAATCACTGTTTTTGTCATTTTCTTTCAGATATTGATTTTTTGATTAAATCTTTATGGACTCAAGAATCGTGTAACTTAGTCGTTTCGTTCACTGAATGTCCAGATGAGGGGAAAACCCCATGAATGATGATTTGTCTAAATGTTGGCAAACCAATTAAAGCTTATGATGTCATGGCAGAGTTCACAGTCTCCAGTGTCTCTAAATTAATGACTGTAGTCAGATGGTGAGACATAATTACCACATTATACCACTACTGTAAAAGCTAGTAATTCATCTTAAAGAAAGCTGCCATGTAGCCTGATTGAGTACGATGGAAATGAACTTTGTAAAAAGTGTTCTGTAGCTGTAATGGATTAAAACACAGCAACATTAAACACGACTCACATTCATCACTCTGCTTTCAGAACTGTGGAGTGATTCACAGTTGCATTCACTCGAGTTGCGAGACAGAGTGATCATTCAGAAAAAAAAAGCTGTGGCTGATTGTTTTAGCACACCATGCTGCAGACTCTTTTTTGTCAATCTATATCTTGGATAATAAGCATCATGGGAATTAGCGCAATGTGCACGGATGTGGAAAGGCATACTCGTCTGACGAGAGTAAAAAAAAAGAGGATTTATGGAGAGTCTTGGATTTCACTTCAGTATCCAGAGCTCCTGAGCAGTGGGAAGTTTTAATGTGGCCATTGTGACTTCTTGACATCAGTTCTTGCAAAGAAAAGAATGATCTGCAATCTGTACCAACATAAACATAATAAAATGTGCCTTGCCCTCTTACTGTTAGGCACTGGAGGCCTAAATTGGAGACGTTAGTACTTCATGATAGAGTTTTCCTCCATTTTTTATCTTAATTGACAAAAAATATTGTGATGACCTCCACATAGTCCTCCATGTACATAGATGAATTGGTTCTGCACTTACCAAAAACAGTTAAGAAGGCTGGAGTGGATTTGATGCTGCCTGTCAGACTGTTGGCTTTGCAGTAATACTGCCCGGTCTGTTCTGGTTTCAGGTCACGCAAAACCAAGTCTTCTTCATACTTGTAAATTTTCTGGTCCAACAAGGTTCCGTTGTGATACCTGGCGGCCAAATGAATCAGTTTGACTGTTAAATGTAGTGCTAACCCTTACAAATGAGTTATTGCCAGTCATTATAAAAGCATGTTGGCATTTTATAATATTACTCAAACAGGTTGAATTATGCAGAAAGTGCAGATCGTAACCTTTTGACACCATTTTGTTTTGGTAAGTACAACAACAAGAAATCGTGCTTTAATTTTTTGCCAAGTTTTTTGTCATATATCGACACACAGAAACAAACAGAAAAACAAGCAGAATGAGATGACATTGATGGGTTCAAGTGCAGGTTTAATCTATCAATATTGATCTATCAGTGTAAATACATGTTATATACTGTTGTCATTAATAATTATTATCGTATTTAATAATAACTTATACAGTGTAGACTGAAATACTATAAACTAGACAACATGTTTTTAGATGTTTTATTCAATACTTTAAGTTTTTTGGTAACATGATATTCAAAAAAAATGATTTCTAGAAAGCTAAGCTTTGGGATTTAATCATTACTTTTGAAATATGGGGCATATTGGATATGCATTGTAGAAAAAATCTGATATATGTGTGTGTATATATATGTATATATACACTCAGTCAAAATGACTATTAATTACAAATTATTAATTTTTCAAGAGATATTTCTGAGGAGGTCAGATAAAATAATAAACTTTCATAAGGAAGGGGAAAGTCAAAGGACAATAAGTGAGAAAAAGAGGAGTTTCCAAAACTGGAGTTTTGGTAAGAAGCTGCTGGTGTTCTCAGAACAATGGAATGCCCACTCCAGAGTCCAGACCTCAACATTATGGAATTTGTTTGGGAATACTTGTATTACTTGAGAAGCAGAAAACATAACTAGCTTCTAACACTGAACTTTGGAGGTGTTGAGAAAAATTCCTGCAGATTTCTTTGGAAAACTGAAAGTGAGTCTTCTGAAAAGAATTTAGGCTGTAATAAAGGTAAAGTGTGGACACACTAAGAAGTGACGATTTTATTTTATGTTTAGTTGTTGAGGCTTCAGTCTAAATTTCTGTTAAATATATGTTTTCTGTTTTTTTTTCATGACTCTGAAAAAATGAATAAGTTTAATTTAGTAAACTTTAGTTTAGTAAAATGACAATAACAACTCAAATCTTCCCAGAGTAAAAAATAGTGTGATAATTTTTATGAAGAATTAGACGCTGAATTAATAATCATGATTATTTTCCTACCAGTAATATTTGTCTGGGTTGGGTGTTCCTGTTGCTTTGCAGCAAAGAATCACACGTTGCCCCTCATATCGTACTTTGTCCTCAGGATGCTTCAGAATGTATGGCTTCTCTGTAAGGCAGAAAGGTTCCAGCTGCTGTAAATGCACTGAAGCAGCTACTCTAATAAAATGCAACTGTGCCTACTGTAAAGACATAAATACAGCTCTCTGTTTTCATCTGCCGTAAAACTGCTTCCAGAAATCGTTGTTCCAGACAGTGTTATTCTTGGTTGCTGTCTGGCTGCTGTCAGGTAACACTCACTGCAGCTAATATGGACGTTTATTTATTGTAATGAAATGCTTCGCTGGCCTTACCTGAGGACCTGAGAAGAGCCCGTATCCAGAGACTCTTGCTGCTGTTGTTGAAAACTGGCACAGTGGCAGGAGCGAATTTCTCTTTGTTGATGAGCAGTCGAGCCTCAGGGCCAGAGCACACGCCAGGGATTTTGAACAGACCTTTAGTATCTGTATGGGTCCGGATAACCGTGGGCTGGTCTGAAACTGCCACACTGGCTCCAGACACTGGCACGCCGGTTACACTCAGAACTTCCCCCTGCAGTGTTTGTCCCTCACATACACAGTGGCTGCAGTCCTCACTGGGACGTCCCTCAGGACACACAATTTGGCACACTACTACAACATGCAAACATACAAAGCATTGTTTATTTCAGGATTATATTTCAGTGTGAAGGGTGTTTCAATATTCGTGCATGGAATTGCCAGTTTGTTGGCCATTTGTTGGCCATTTTATTGGAAATATCTACAGTATATGGCCGCTTTGGAGATGCACAGTTAGCCTGTCTGCTGCTGCACAGTTTATCAGCCCCCTCTGCCCTATCTATCAATGGAAAGGGACCACCATATGACCACAGTTGATCAAATATTATTTAGCTGTGGACCACTCTCAGCACAGCAATGATGCCAACACAGTGGTGGCATGTTAGTGTTACACTAGTATATTAGCGTTTTTAAGCACTGCATATTGTAGTCTGTTGTGTGTGGGCTGTGAGTTGCAAAAGTTTGGAAAACACTGACAGGGGCTGCGTGTAAAAAGTGGCCCAGATCTGATTTACTGCCCACATCTGATTTCATTGCTTGGTTATTGACATTATCTTTGTAATGCAACCTGTACCTGACATCAGTCTGAACAGTTCACGCTTGTGAACTGACCGGCATGTTAAAAAGAACACTGATTCACCTGGCATGCTCATCCAAACACAGCTGTCCTCTATATTTACCTTAAGACTAAAAGATTCCTTTCACATGACATTGAACTTTAACATGTGCAAACTTATACTTTAAACTTGGAGGACAAACAGCAGATTGACCACGCTAGATGAAATCGCGTAAAAGAGTAAAAATGATAAACTTCTGTGCTTGTTTTATCAATGGAAAGTGACCAATCAGAGATGGAAAGATCATTTTTTTATGTTTACCTGCCATGAAGAAGAATGCTACATTCTCGGTACCAAACTCAGCAATATATATTGGATAAAGAGACTGGATCCAAGTGAGGCTCATTTTACTCTCTTGTTTCTCTTTTTTTCCAAACTATCCTTGAAGTAAAGCTGATTTTGAATAGCTGTTTGATTTCTCTCTTCAGAAATCATGTTTATTTGTTTACATTGCCTGCATTTGTGTCATTCCTGCACAATAAGAGAAGATGTGTAGTGCTGCCATAGTATCAGGCAATTTGATGACGTTGCCATAAAGGGTCTGTTATGAAGGTCTTATGATGATAATTCAATTGTATTTACATAAAAGATGCGTTATTTTCATTACTTCTGTTTGTTTTTTGCTGTTCACGCTGTCACACAAAAGACAAATCTGTGTCACAAATGAAGAAAAAGATCAGATTTGGGCCTTTTTTGCCTGCAGTTTTAATGTAGTTGCCTAGGAGAACAACTTGCCAGCGGGTGGCACCAACATTCCAAAAATCACACAGTGTGTGTACCACAATATTTGTGTGTATATGTGAGATATTGCTGGTGTGGCTTGATGCCGGTTTCATCCCTCTCAATGATGCACACAAAGCTACGTGAGTGCTCAGAGCTCCCCCTTGTGGAGAAACCTCATCCTGCTAAACATGAATGAGCCAGGTCTATGTGCCTTGCATACAAAAACAATAAATCATTACAGCAGAAGCACTCTGTAATTCAACTATAGACAGCTGTGGAAAATCATGAAGTGTTCTATTTTCCAAACTATTAGAACTCACCTGAGCCATGGGGACACTTAAGCAGTGTTTAAAATGCTTTGGATTTTCCTCAGACAGAGAGTATCATAATCTGGGAAGTGCACAGCAGGGAGAGTAGGAAATTTGGATTTGGGGCTGGAGCAATGCAAGCACCAAGTAAGTTTGTCTAGGCCGCCTAAGCTTTGGGGTCCCTACTGGACCTTCTCTTGCCCTTCATCGGTGGTCAGTTGGTGGACTATTTTTATTCATAAGTGGCAGTTAAATGTGTAAAAACTTATACTCACATCACCACAATATACACTACCATGCAACTACGAAATAAAATCATGGTCAGTGGTGGTCCTGTGGTGGTCCCTTCCCATTGATGTGCCTTGCAAAGCACACCTTCATGGTAGATGTTTCTAACAAACTGGCAATTCAGTACATATGCACTTTTAATACATGCAGCACCTGGACATGGCGTATTTCCACACTTCTGGACTTCTACTGGCCGTCCTTTGCATTGGAGCTTGTCCGAGGATTTGATGCACGTTCTCCGTCTGCCTCTTCGACCTTTCCCACAGGTCACTGAGCAAGCGCTCCACAACCCCCACTGACTCCACTTGACTGCTTGGACAAGAGACAGGGGAATGCTGCAGTGAGTTTACAAGGCTGACCTTTTAGGGATCAAATCAGCCCGTCTGGATAATCTGCATGGATGAAAGCCTCTTTGAAGAGGTGGTACATTGATTTCTTGATCAAAGCCTACAAAGCTTTTCCATACATGGAGATGTGTCATAATTAAGCCAGCTAAGTGGATGCCACATGTATCATTACAACATCAAGGGCTTAATGTCCCAAGGAAAGCTGCCTTTAGTCAACAATGTGACAGTGTTTATTCAGAGATCTTGTTTGAACTCAGCTACTGTCAAATGAGAAGCAAACATTTTTACTTTTTTAACCCTTATTTAACAAAAATACCACACTTTTCTTTTTGTAAGCTGTGCAAGAAGCTATTTTATTTCAGCAAAAGTGAACGAGAACATTGATGAAGAGTTTATACACTACCATTTAAAAGTTGCTTTAAAACTCAGTTTAGTTGCAGATAAACTGTGCATCCTTCATTTATTTAATTATTTGGTCAACAAAGGCCATTAAGTTAAGTCTTCATTTTTCAGGATCTATTTCTGAGGAGAATTAGACATGAGATGATCCACTTGCATAAGGAATAGGTGAAAAAAACGAGTTCAAAAAAGTATTAAAAGAAATAGAGAAAACTGGATTCCTAACCACCATGCAAGACCTGGTAGACCACCAATCTTTGAGAGAGAGGAGAAAATCAAGCTCCACTCTTGATTCAGATCTGAAAAAATCCACAGGTGTTTCTGTCCATCCTTCCACTGTGAGAAGACAACTCAGTGCTATGAGACTGAAAGGATGTGTAGCTGTCAAGAAGCCGTTACTGAGATAAGAAAACTGACAAAAAGAATAATAAATGTAAATCAAAGAAACTGCTGGTGTTCTCAAAACAAAGATAATTGGAAGACCAGACCTCGTCATCACTGAATGTGTTTGGGATTACTTGGATCGTTAGAAGCAGAAAGTGCAACCAACTTCTAAGACTGAACTTTGGAGGTGTTGAAAAATATCCCTACAGATTTCTTTGAAAATATGAAAGCAAGTTTCCAAAAAGAATGGAAGCTGTAATAAAGGTAAATGGTAAACACATTAATTGCTGAAAATTTGACATTATATTTAGCTGTTGAGGATTCTCTGATTTTCTGTTAAATATATCTTTTCTGCCACTGAAAAAATGAATAACTTGTGCTTAATGGTCGTTTTGACTGTAATTCAAAAAATTAAATGATGTTTTACACAGAACTGTATAAAATGACTATAATATGCTGGCCCCTAGGAAGCTAGGAAGCAGTTAAAAAACTAAAACTTTTCAGAATGATAATATACAGAATGTCTCATATTTCAAAAGTTATAATCAAATCCTGAGGGAGATAACTTGATGAATATGCTAATTCTTCTATACCTAAATATCATTTTTTTGTCTAGTTTATCTTTAAATATGCACTGAATTTGTCAGTATTGCATATAAAATAACAAAAAAACATTAATGAAACAAGTGATGCCCTGCGATGGACTGGCGACCTGTCCAGGGTGTTTCCTGCCTTCCGCCCAGTGACGGGGTAAGCTCTAGCTCCGCCCCCCCCGGCAACCCAGAAGAATAAGCGGCTTAGAAAACTTGTGTGTGTGTGAGAAACAAGTGATTGCAAACTTTTGGTGTTTTTTTATACCTTTCAACAAACAGTTACACCTTCATTTTGCTTGGCTGGTTACCTTGGCATGGTGGGGTAGAGCACTCTCTGCGCTCGGTGTGTGGGCCGGGACAGGTTGGAGTGAGCAGCACAGGCAGAGACTGAGTGCTCATGCATTTCCGCCGACGCACCTGGATGCCCACATCATTGCAGGCAGTAGTTGAACAAGGACCCCATGCACTCCAGTCCGTCCAGTAGGCTTGAACTGAAGCAGTAGAATAGCATGTGAAATCAATATTTTCTTAAAAACCATAAGCACACTGATCCATCTCTGTCTTGTACACTGCAGGTCATAGCCCACAGCATGGAGGAAGCTACTGTGACTGACTGTTGCTTGACTAATAGTACCTGGTGGACACTGGAATCGCACATGGTAGTTGGAGCAGATGCGTCCGTACGGCTGTTCTTTATTGATGCACCAGAAGCCCTTCTCCAGGCTGGAATGCACCACCTCCCCAGTGTCTGCGGCGGCTACCCAGTCAGTGGTGCGGGCCTCCATGGCCACCGGCCGTGCGCACACCCTTTCTCGGTAGTAGAAACGAATGGCCTCCAGCCTCTCATAGTCTCCATTACCACCCGGATGATCGATGTTAAACCACGATGTCCACTCTGTCACTCCTGTGTTGCAAAGATCAGCCTAAAATCAGCCTAAAATTACTCTCAGGTAAAATAACTGTTGGTTCAATTAAATGATTACTCAAGTAGAGGTAAAAACAGGTTAAGAATATCAGAATTTCCTACACTGTCAGAAAAAAGGTACTGTAAAAAAAGGTACATTTTGTCCTCCAAGGTACAAACTATGTAAATGTACCCTCAGAGGTGCACAGTGTCTTTAAGATGCAGTTGTGTCCCATAAGAGTTTTAAGTTTACACTATATTCACTTTTCCAAATATTTATTTTCATATATTTAGCATGAAAAGCCTAAAAACAGTGAAACAAAAATTGAGTGAACTTTCTGTTGTAGCCATAGACCAGTAGCTTCCAATTCTGGGCCTGGAGTACCCCTGCCCCACAGCCCCTCAGGATGGTCCTGTTAACTTCTTTCCACTGACTCTATAGTGGCCATTTCACCAGCACAATGATAGAATTGATTTGGACACTGTTGGCTCTCTGTAAAAATATTGTCTCACTGCATTGAGCTGCTAGCAAGCAATGATGGGCGAAAGGGAAGAAGTGAAAACCTTGTGCTGTGAAAACAATTCACACCTCCCCACAAAGAGGACTCTGCCTCTATGGATTATGGACAGCACTGTTGCAGCTTTCTTGATATCCTAAAAATATGTTAAAACACAATAAAATCACTTTTATAAATGTTGCTTCCTGGCTCACCTACAAATTCAGTTCTCTTTCAGTTTTGTAAATCATAAACATTTCAAACAAAATATATTCCATCAATGTTGAAACGTGCCTAGTGCAAAAACTGAAGGACCTCTAAAACAGGTGGAAATTTCATTTTATGGCTACTGTGGAAAGCGGTTAATTAGCTGATTAAAAGGATAAGGTGTGTTAGAGCACAGGCTGGATACTCTAGCACCACGATTTGGAACCACTGCCATATAGCTGTTGAGCAAAAAATGTATGAGTAGTGTAGTGCCTCTGCTCAAAGCTTTCTTTTTTAATCCATTATCTTTCAGGCCAAGTCACACTCCAAGGACTGCATTCGGTATACCAGGGAAAGCTGTAAAGACATCCAACTGCTCCTCTTGTTTCAATTAAAATAGTTGGTAACTGCCAGTGTGTCATTGCTTCAGCATTACATCGACTCATATTGTTTGGGCCCACATTCAAGGAGTGCTTGTGGTTCTGATTATTTCATAATTCACACTGCAGGAAGTCACACTTATTTCATATCATTTGGTGCGTTAGACACTGACTATCCTTGCCACAGGTATTAGTCATTATTACTTCCCAGTTCATCATCAGCCAAGTGACTGCTCATGACACACAGGTGAACTGACAACACCACCAAAAGAACATTAGTTCAACCATAATGACCTGTGGTCTGGGGTTCAAAGATGCTGTTGTAGGCCAACTTTGTGTTCCTGGTCCTTTGGCTGGACTTCCGTACCTGAGAGTTGTTCCAGCTAGAACCTGCAGGCAGTAAGAGAGAAAATAACATCACATTGTCGCAAGAAAAACGGGAATTTTATAATAAGGAAAAATCCTTAGATTCCATTCCGAGCCATTCTGGAACATTTCTATTGGCCTATTCCACATGCTATGCTTGCACAATGTACAGGGCCGGTGATTGCAACCGGTGTTAAATAGTGAAAAACAAATGGAATGAAGTGGACAAGCTGTGTCTTATTCATTTGTCAGACACTTTTATCCAAAGTGACATGACTGTAAGATGATCCAGTCCCCAATCAGTCCTAAGTACTTAAAGATTAGTTCTTGACGACACGTTCCTGTTTGCAGTCCATTGTCAAAACAATCCCTAGCCAGCATGTTCCTCAGGTTGCATGTGTGTCTGTGAATGCAGATGGAATGTTCGGTTTCAAGGGTGAAGTCTGTAGAAGACACTTGATCTTCATGTGCTGTCCCTCGGGTGTCTGCCTTTTCAGTGTTCTTTGTCATGGTGCCATCAGGAGTCCAAATGGCAGCCTCATGTACTCATACTACCCCAACACCCAGAGGTGTCAGTAGCCCATCTGGAGTATCTCCAGACAGATGCGTGTGAGCACCTGATACCTGATCCGATGATGGTCAGCAGAAGGGGTGCATGCACTTCTGTAGACCACAGGCTCTCTCCTGGAGAGGAAAAAAGCCCTGGCCAGCCAGGAGCTCCTGCACACATATGGAAAAGTACTGCAGCCTAATTGTATCAGACGTATTCTTCCTCTATTCTCTCTTCCATGACCTCCTTTTTAAGCAGCTATAGCATGAAGGATGCGGTTGTATGTATCAGACTTCTCAGATTAAAGGTGCTGATGTAGGACTATATGTTACTAAACATTTCAGTCAACCAGGTCATTAAAATGTATAGTTCAACCCTCTGGAGTCCACGAATTTGCTTGCATGTCAAATTCAATGTTTCTGTATATGTTTCTCTCTCTCTTTTTGATAACACATTGCAGAAATATGGTTTAAACATTTCCTGAATCTGTAGAGTCTCTCTTTTAATTCCATCTTATCACAAGATTGTTTGGGACTCATATCTGGAGTTATGAGGCTATGAAGAGTGGTTGAGAAACATGTCATCTGCCTCTCACTCTGTGTAACTGGTGGATTTGTGTGTCCGCCTACATTTTGTGTGAAACTGAGCAATTCTGGAATTCACTAAGGACTTACCCATCATGTCGGAAACGCTTCTTCGTTCAGTCTATATCTGAGAAACATGAAATGGTGTGCAAAGAGTTTACAGCTGATGAAGCTGCTGCAGCAGTTTTGGAAAGTAGTGATGAAGTTTTTTGATATGAAACATATGGGTATCGTATATGCAAGTCCCTTCAAAGGCAAATTTAAGAAGATGAACAAAAATCGAGAAAATGCCCTTAGACCCCAGAAGATCAAGCAGGGAATTCAAACAGGGACAGTACAGGGAATGGAAACCAAAACTGAAGAATATTACTTAAATGTATTTATATTAGTTTAGCATTTCCTGTTAGTCATTTCTAATCTCTGGTATCAAAACAAGGCCTCTGGCCCTGTAGTGTGATCTTGAAGAGGTTTATCAACTCAGCTGAGGGGCTAAACTGATGAAGACCCTCGGATGTAACAGTACAGATGTAGATGAAACATCTTCATGTCTATACTTCATAATATTAGACTAGTTTTTGCCTTGCACACCCATATCACATTCTAGAACTTCATTGAGGACACCTGAATGGCACATGCTGCTGGGAGAGGAAAAAGGCAGACATGGTCAACTGTGGTTCCTAAATGAGTCATAAACTAGACATGGGCACAGCTTAGCAGCTAGCCACTGTGCAACCTCTGTATGGGTTTCACCAGACCACCTACCTAAACCCAGAGTTTCAGCTGCCGTCCACAAAAGCTGCATCTATTAATATAAATCTTCACAGGCTATAAAAGATTACTTTTCTAGGAGTGGGCTGTGATGAAAAAATCAGGTCTGAGAAATCTGTGCACACAGGCCATTCTTTCAGAGGGGACGTGTCCAGCGAATGTAGCCAATCCGTACTTCCCCTCTAGAAATAATGCAGTGCCTTGACAGTTGGTCATTACTGGCTCTATTTGCGGCACACACACTGAAGCGCTTATCTTCAGCAGACATGTCAGTTGCAATGTGAAATCTTCCAGGGTGATGAACTCCCCAAAGTCATTTTATGTGATTATACTCCTCTGCAATATAGCAAATGTTTCCTTCACAGGTTAACCTGAGCGAGTTCCCTGACACTCCTTCCCCAGAGCTCCTCATATGACATCTCTAGAGCCTAAGGCCACTGCACACTGGACATGCTGTGTTGTGCAGTGCCCAAAAATTTAAAACCATTGTTTCTAATTAAGATGAATGAAATCAATTAAATCCAAAGGTGAATTAAATTAAATTAATCCCAAAATGAGACCGCACACATCAATGGTATGGATGACATGTGGCTTGAAATTTACACTGGAAAGGCAAATGCTAATGGTCTTTTACTGGGGATGTATACAAGTACTCCAATTTGAGCTGCCAGTACTCAAATAGTTGTTCCATTTCATCACAGGAGGACAGAGAAATTATACAGACTAACAGTTTAATGAAACACTGCTTTTATGTTTGTGCCACTCCAAAATTGATTGAGAAGGCAGATGTAGCTTGGCTGTATTGCTAACTAGGCTAACTACTTTAGCTGATGCTAGTTAGGTTCCAAAACAGCAGAAATATGTTTCTCTGATGAACTAACATGTTGGAGGAGAAAACACCTCAGCGGGTCCCTTCCCTTGGCTTATTATCAATAACAAAGCACATTTTCAATGTATTCCTCTGCATGTGGCTACATTTTTTATGTTACTTGTTTGTTTAGCATTTTAACACTAGAGCTAGCACATAAAAGAGTAAGCCTTCATAGTTACTTGTCCCTTCATCACGATTAACCGGATATTCATTTATTAACTCTTGCAATTACTCAAAAATATCAAAATTATTCAGAATGTACATCCCTATGTGTTACCTCAGCTAACATGGTCATATTGTAACTCCACCTTGTACATTTTAGCTTGAAAACAGTTTATGAAGAGGTTGTCAGCTGGACCAAATGTAAAATAAATTTATAAATGCATAAAAGAGTGCAAAATGAACTTAAGTTTGATGTGTATCAGCACTCACTTTGGGCTTTTTCTGCCATGTGACATTACATGATGCATCCAGTGAGTGGTGGGCTTAAGAGATACAACAGCAATCTAACATGATACTTGAAGATGTTTTAACAGTACATCTTATGTGGGTCAAGTCTGAGGTTTGAAGGTTGGAATGGACAACACACCAACAAAAGAGAAGTAACAAATAATTGCCAAAATGTGATAATGTCATTTAAAAAGCTACTTATTTGCAGTTTGTTGTTGCTGGCCATACAAAATGCCAATTTTACAGGATAATTCAAAAAGTTTGCTTTTAATGAAAGTCAATGTAAAGAGACTTTATTTTAAGCATTTTTTGAGCATTTTTGTTGGTCCATTAATCATGATAATTTCACACAATGTAAAGAAATACTTTTTTTTTGGGACAGTGACATTATGCAGTTACTATACATGGGTTGTTGTTGCTCACAACCTCTTATTAAGTGGTTTAACTTTGTACATGCAGTTGTTCCGTGTTCCAGAAATACTGATGATAGAACAGTGCATCATGATGTAATTGCCCACCCCTGGCGCACACATGCTCTAGAGAAGTTACTGCTTCAATAGAGACTATGCAGAGTTTATTGGACCATTCCTCAAACTGCCCCGCGCAGTCCCTTATTGATTGTGCTACTGTGGGCTTTTATTTCTTAAATTAGCACATCTGGGACCTTAGTGGTCTCCATGAATAAATGGAGAGATTAAAATTGTTTGGTTTAATTTTAGGCCCTCTCAATCTGAAGTTTTACAGATGACCTCATTTCAAAAGATTTGCCAGGAGGTAAATAATTCAGTCAACATCCATCTTCCTCCCAATAATAACTCAGCACAGTAATAGGATACCGCTGCCTTAGTGCATATGGGTGTTGGGGGATTAGCTGTGGCAAAATTTATGTTGCGGTGGAAACAATAGGTTAGCAGCAGCCAGAAGTATGCCAGCATCTTTGAGCGGTACGCGTGGGTCCTCTTAACTTAGCTGCTCCCTCATAACAGCGAGGCTACTGCTGCATTTATTCTGGGAAGCAGTGGTCACTTAAGAGAGGCACTTTCCTCTGAACCCTACAACATTTTCCAGTTTTACTGTGCAGAGTTCAGCTTTACCGGTGTCCTTCCAGGTCTTCTTACGTCACCTTATAAAGTCTGCACTGTGACCAATTCTGTGCAAGTACAAATAATCTATTCATACTATTTTCGGTGTAGGTGGTTTTTAAGGAGTATTGCCTTTTACAAGTGCTTTGCTGCTAAAGGCCAGGAGCTAATAAAAATAATGCATTCTTAAAATTGCCTTGAAAAAAAGGAGCTTCTGTCGGAACTCCTGCACCAAAACTTAGCTGGCAGCGACACAACCCTGTCTACAGGTCTGGGATTGTTTTAGGTATTCCAGACGCTTGTACAAGAAGAAAATGTAATGTTATGTAAGCTGTTGGATAAACTGAGGTTTGTGAAGTGGTGTGATGTAGATGCGTAATAACAGGGGTGGCACTGGAAAGCTCTTTAACGCTGCCCTGGCATCTCATGGAAGCCCAGTAACAAGCGCTTATTTGTTCGAAATCAGGCAGGCGGGAACCGTGGCCAGCTGCTGGTCTCCTGACCACATTCCACATCCCATCATGTATTAATGAATGTGAACGAGAGCCAAGAAGATTTTTTGACCGTGTGTGTGTGTGTGTGTGTTTACTCATGGTTTGCGGACATGTGGAAGCAGTTTTGCCCCGTTGGCTCGTACCCTGGCTGAGGTGCACTCAGATGTTGAGGTTTGTCTGATTAGGTTCAGGATGAGATTAGAAGCCACCGACTAAACATTCCGCAACCTCCACTCGAGTTTGGGTTTGGGTCAGATGCATCTGCGCCCCATTATCCCAAATGGAACTGTCTCCCAGCACTGAATAATGACAGAAAGCTAGCCGCAGCGCTACCTCTGGGAATTTAAAATGTGGTGTGATCTTTCTTTCCATTTTTATCTTACAGTCTAAAGATCAATGACATGCACATGAGCTGACGTTGCTTATTGCAGAAGAACACTTCTAGATGTTCACCCAGATTGCACCGTATCCACTGGCTATGGAGAGGGACATTCACAGCACGTAACCTCTCACAAATCTGCTTTTGCTTCTTGTTCCACATCAAAGTGCCTGAGATACATATCCTCCTCAGGGGGAATGATGGCCAGTTGAATGGAGCTCCAAGCATCTGGAGAATGGATCGTTTAAATGGGGCAGATGAGTGAGCGGCAGTATTTACCTTGGGTGTGTCTCGCCCCATCTCGGACATGCCAGCCTGGCACGGGCCACAGCGGTTTACAGCTTGTTACTGAATGACTGAGCGACATCTGCTTATTTAAAACCCTGATTTAAGGCCAGCGCCAGAGTCGTCCACCGGTTTTCCATTCCACCGGAGCTGCAGCTGTCTCCTGTCGTTAGGAAGCAGGTAATAAATTCCACTAGTGGTTGAGGTGGAGCGGAGATGAGAGCAAGTGACAGAGGACGGACGAGAGGTGTGAGAGAAAGATGGAGAATCGGTTACCTGTCCCGTTTACAGATATTTCACTTGAACATGAATCAGAAAAGTGGAAGTTGGGTCTACATTTTATTCTTCTCAACTGTCAGTATTTAGTGAATGAGTTTGTGGAGGATAAATGGGGACAAAAAACTCCACAGATATTTGTCACTGATGTTCTTAGTGGTTCTCAGACAAATAAGTTAGGTTTTCAGAGAATAAATGGAACTAAAGTTCAGTTATTGGGCAAATATTCCCTAGAGGTCAATAATACCCCTATGAAAGAAGCACATACATATATGCGGATATTAAGAATGTATGTACAATATATGAATGTGGTTTTAAAATATATATTGCTGTTATCGGAACAAAACCTAGTATCACCAAAATGATAACTTTACAGGAGAAAAAACGTACTTTACTTTTAATGTAAGTTAATATAAGCAGACTGTTTCCTAAGTAATTTTGGGCCATTTCTTTTGGTCCCCTCTTTATGAAATTTACACACAATGTAAAGGGCAACAGGTATTTTCAAATTATGTCAAAAACTGAAAAACAACAAAAATGGAGGAACAAGGTTTTGTTCCGACAACAGCAATATTTACCTGTGCTATTATTGAAATCTATGCACATGTAGATTAAATATATCACTGTTAAACCTTGTATCTCCAAACTATACAGGAGAAGCAAAGAACCTACTTTACTTTTAATGTAAGTCAATGGAACCAGACTTTTTTCCAAGTCATTTGGGTGATTTTTTTAGTCCATTCATCATGAAATCTACACACAATGTAAAGAGTAACAGGTACTTTCAAATAATGTAAAAAACTGAAAAACGTCAAAAATGTAGATACGTTTTCTTCCGACAACAGCATATGTAATAGTGTCAGTTTGTAATGTTTACATATGAGCCCTGTAATGAAAAACAGTAAATGTAACATTTTTTTATAAAAATCATATATATAGCATTGTTTGGTGCCCTGTATTTAAAATTAAGGGGTCACTAAAAGGTAATAAAGCATAGTTTGGCCTTTTAATGTAAAAGGTTGTACAAATTAAAGTAGAAAATAAAATAACTGATAATCCAAAAAAGTATGAAATGGTTCTTTGTTGGAGGGACAAACTTATATGGAAATATATTACAAACTTGATATATAATTTGAAAAATTCATTAATTAATATTTTTGACTTATGGGTACTTAGAATATGCTACTTTAAAACTTTAAGTTAAGATCAAGTTGTTCATTTGCTTAGAAAAAGTAAAGCAATTGGTTTCTCAATGTTTTAGAGTACACTCAATGTTTACAGTATATGTGCAAAAACTGACCATCTGGGGGTCCCTGAGGACCACCTTGAACACCACTGCTTTGGGGCACCAAAAGTGGCTTTTCTAAGTCATTGTTTCAAAGAACTATTTTAGAAAACTTTAATATTAAAAGCAATAATGAAAAACAGATTTGGTTAATTGTCTTAATTAGTAGATGTTATTTTGGATTATATTAAATCAATAAGGAATTCTGTTGTTAAAAATACCTGTTTACATATAAACATGAAAGACAACTAGGAATTCTCCAATATGGTGTTTCTCATTAAATCTTCCACTTCAGAAATGTCAATCACCCAAAAGGATGTGCAAAAGTCAAAAACAGAATAAAACAAATGCGAAGAAATAACAGTACAGTGTACAGTACAGTGAATGTACCAAATGTACTCAAATGTGAACACTGGTTTCACATGAATAAAGTATATTACATTGTTACAATATCTGAAAGACAAAATTCTGTTGATTTAATATATTTCATTTATGTGGAAATAAAGTACATATTAGAATCAAGTACATTTAAGTGCTGAACAGTTTCCAATTCATATATAACTGACTCTATATATAGCTATCCAAAGCTCCCCTCTCTTCAGTCTTATTAAAGGCAGATTACTGACATACCTTGAACCAGAGTGAAGACAGAGCACAGTACCAGTGCCACTCGCACCCACGTCCACATGGTGCCACTCTCACAGGCAGACTGCAGCGGGTTCTTCTGGGCTGAAAAAACTATATTCTGCTCTGACTTGACAGGAAAGAATTACACAGGTGGGTTCAGTTTTTCCTGTCCTTCAAACCAAGTCTGATGAATGTTGCACATTTCAGAGAGAACAGAGTTTTAAAAGACAGGCAGTGTGGTGAGTGGTCCAATCCAGCCCCCTCCTGCCTGCCATTGGCCAGAGCACATCTAAGCACATCTGAAAAAAGACAAAGGTAGGAAAGGACTGAATGGTGGAGCCTCGCTTCTTCTTTAAAGAACCATGTCTGTCTACGGGATGTGTGAGTGTGAAGAACCTTTTTGAAGTTGAAAGAACTTCCACATAATGTAGAGGTTATAGAGGTTGTTCCTAGACCTATACATCTAAGTGAAGAACCATCAAGGAACTTGCAGATTTTTTTGTATGAGAGTGAAAATATTGAGAACTACACACTTAAATATAAAGGTGCCAAGGGTTCTTTGTTCAGAGCCATAAAAGAAGCATTTCTGGTTCCCTGTAGGACCTTTCAGTGAATGGTTCTTTGAATCATTTTTTTAAATGAGATGTGAGTATGAGGAACTTTTTTGAAAGAGAGTTGAAAGAGCGTCCAAATAATATAAAGGTTCTTGGGAGAACCCTTAAGTTGGTAAAGAACCTTTTCATTATGTAAAAGTTCTTTAAACCATTAAAAGGTTCTTCACACTCTTTTTTAAACATGGTTCTTTCAAAAGTGGTTCTTCAATGACATCACTCAATGAACACTTTGTGGTACCTTTTTTAACAGTGCAGAAAAGGCACTTGTGGATCCCTATAGAACCTTTCAGTAAATAATTCTTTAAAGAATCATTTTTTATAAATGAAATGTGAGTATGAAGAACCTTTTTAAAGTTGAAAGAGCCTCCAGATAATACAAAGGGTCTTGAAAGAACCCTTAAATTGGTAAAGAACCCTTTTATTATGTAAAGGTTCTTTAAACCATTAAAGGGCTCCTCACACTCCCAAATCTCTTTTTCAATAATCATTCTTTAGAAAACCAAAAGTGGTTCTTCTTCTAATGCATTACTTAAAGAACCCTTTGTGGGATTTTTTTTGACAGTGTAGAAGAACCACTTTTGGTTCCCTAAACCTTTGAATGGATGGTTCTTTAAAAAACCTTTGTGTAAATGGGACGTGTGAGTATAAAGAAGCATTTTTAAGTTGAAAGAACTTCCACATAATGTAAAGGTTCTACACGTTTTTCCTAGAACCATACATCTAAGTGAAGAACCATTAAGGAATTTGTATTTTCAAGCATGCAGATTATTGGATGAGTGTAAAATATTAAGAAATATGCTCTTAAATATAAAGGTTCCAGAGTTCTTTGGTCAAAGCCACAGAGGAAGCACTTTTGGTTCCCTAAAGAACCTTTGAATGGATGGTTCTTTAATTTGTGTAAATGGGATGTGTGAGTGTGAAGAAGCTTTTTAAAGTTGAAAGAACTTCCACATAACATAAATGTTCTAGAGGTTTTTCCTAGAACCATACATCCAAGTCAAGGACCATTTAGGAATTTATTCTTTAAAAGTGTACGTTTTTCCTGGTGCATATAAAACATTAGAAATTAGCTGGTAAAATGAAAAGTTACTATACTTTTGAAGAACTCCTGGGTTCTTAAAGAACCTTTCGGTGGACAGTTCTTTAAAGAACCAATTTTGTAAATGAGATGTGCAAGTGTAAAGAACATTTCTACTACTTTAAAGACCCTCCATGTAATGTAAATGTCTTATACCAATATTTTTCCCTCTAGAACTTTACATCCAGACTACAGGCCATTTAGGAACCTTTATTTTTTAAGATCATACAATAATTACTTAATTTTTTATTCTTAAAGCAAATTCTCAGTTATGAAATTGCTTTTTTCACACAGTCGGTGTGGGTTTTTGGTGAGCACCTACTCAGTAATCTTCTCAGGTGTCCAGTCACGGGTCAATAAATCACAATAAGCTGCTTTTGTCCTTGCAGGAAACATTTTTACGTGGCACAGAAGGACAGCTGTAAACATATTTTCAGCCTGTAAGAAATCTCGCATGACAAATCCTGGACTTCCCCTGTCAAGGACTCTGACTGGCATCAACGACTTGCATTGTTTAAATGTTCCCGGACAGCGAGAGGATAGCAGATGGCCTGCTTATGGTTCAGTTTTCCAACTTTAATGACCACTGATTGCATGACGCTCTATTGCCAGAGAGGGAAGTGGTGTCTCATTGCACACCATTCAACAAACACTTCACACTGGAGGCTTATGTGCTTGTGAAAGCGAATGAGCTAATACCTCATAAGCAGCCATGATGATGTTCTGGCAGATATCGTGACGTATTAAGGATATAAAGTGTCTTCAGCAGCAGAATTCCATTCTTGGCAAGATCTCAGTGCATTTGCAATTTATGCTGTTTTGGATATTTTGAAGAAAATGGTTGAAGATGTCGCTTGTTTGAAAGGATGTAAGTCACAAAAGAGATGATTAGGGAAATCATGCAAAATATATCATCACTGTCCAAAACACAAACAAAAAAGAAACGAAACAAAACCAAAAACATGTATCTTCATTTTTTTGACCAATAGAAATGATCTAATTTACTTGGAAGAAGATCTCTTTACACTGGCTGTCATTTAAAGTTAAGAATGCATGTTTTGCCTTCTCCTGTAAAGTTTCTGTTTTGGAGGTTTTTCCCTTTTTTTCAAATTAAGATCTCTTTTTTTGTACTAAACATGTTTTTCAAGGGTTCTTTGGTAAAGACAGTGGTTCTACATGGAACCATGAACACTCCAAGAACCATTTGCATGCTTAAATGGTTCTTCAGATTGATGGAGAATATGATTCCATATAGAACCTTTTTGACAAGGGTTCTATATACCACCAAAACGTGTTTTTCTATTGTTACAAGCTTGACATCATAACAATAGAAGAACCCTTTTTGGTGCTATATGGAACCATGCACAACACGTTCTCCATCAATCTGAAGAACCATTCCACCATGCACAGAACCCTTTAAGCATGAAATGGTTCTTTGAGTGTTCATGGTTCTATATACTATCTACTAAAGAACCCATGAGGAACCATTGTTTTTAAGAGTCTAGCTGCCCTGTACATAGTGTGAATTAGTCCTGATGAATGGACCAATAGAAATGGTCTAAAACTACTCGGAATAAAATCTTGTTTCATGACTGTAAATTACCTTTGAATTATTTATCTACATTTTTAACTGAGTTATTTCATTACATTATTCATTTTTCAAAGAAAGAGTCCTCAGCACCTAAGAATAAATGAAATCTTTCAGTATTTTTCATTAGTGAGACTTGCTTTCAGTTTTCAAAGAAATCTGCAGGAATATTTTTCCACACTTTTTTTTTTCCACACCTCCAAAGTTCAGTCTTAGAAGTTGGTTGCATTTTCTGCTTCTCACAATCCAAATAATCCCCAAAACATTCAGAGATGTTGAGATCTGGACTCTGGGGTGGTCAGTCCATTGTTCAGCTTCTTTGTTTGATGTGTCTGTTTCCTTTTCTCAGTAAGAGCTTCTTGACAGCTACACATCCTTTCAGACCCACAGCGCTGAGTCGTCTTCTCACAGTGGAAGGATGGACAGAAACACCTGTGGATTTTTTTCTGAAGCAGCTTGATTTTCTCCTCTCTCTCAAAGATAAAAGTGCTGTTTATCTGATGGGGGCAGTTTGGGTGTCTACCAGGTCTTGCAGGTGGTTGTTAGGAATCCAATTTTCTCTGTAGCTTTTAATTATTTTTTAAACTCCAGTTCTGGAAACTCCTGTTTTTTCACTTATTTTTTTTGGACTTTATCTTTTCTCATTCAAGTGGATTATCTCCTAAAAAATAATAACTTGTACTTAATGGCTGTTTTGACATTTTTTATGTGTATGAAATGCAGTTTAGTTTTAGTAGTAAATGTGAATAAAAAAAAAACAACTCTTTTAGCTACAAAACAGCCAAAATTCCCTGTGAAAAGCACAGACCAAAATATTTTCCCTGCCTGCCTCTCAGTCTAAACAGGGTTTCACATTTTCCTTTGTTGCCATATTGAGTGCACATGACTTTGGTAGTCAGTCATCCACACGCAGCTCCCTCTGGGTGTTTGGAGATTAGAGAATCCTTTTTGAGATTCTTTTTTTTTCTGTTTAGATTCTCAGAGCACAGATGCAACTGATGACCAAAACAGAGCTGGTAAAACATTTGAGGGGTTATAAAAACCTGCTCCTTTTTGATAATCTCAGGCGACCTTTTGTTGAAAATGTTGATGAGGGATATAAAGATGTCCTGAACTGGCCTTTTCACCACACTGGGCGTTTCTTCTTGCTGGTTTTATACTGTAATGGTTGTTAGGGAAGGTTTATTCTTTGCACCCACACCTTTTTCCTGACTTTAAGTAAATCTCTGTGTAAAGATAATATACTCTCTGGTCTAAAGATGGTACTAACTACTGCTTGTTCCCAAATATTGGCGATCTGGGCGACATTTCCAATTGCTGGCTTGTCCAAATGTGGCCTTGAATAACCATTAATCTTAAGGTCCAGAAGCTTGTGGGTTAGAAGGATGCCAATGCACAGGAAGTTAGCATTTTCATAGAGAATTTATTTGAATTCAGGATCTAAACTGGCCATGAGCACAATCCAAACTAGGAAACTACAGCTATATACTGATCTACCTACCATGTAACCATACAAAGGTTTATAAGCTTCAGTCTGTCGGGGCAGCTTTGAGCCATTCAAAGGGGCTAATTTTCAAGCATTTGTCTCTAAAATAATAAAAAAAGAAAAAATAGAGACATCTGTAATGTACAATTGTTACTACAGCTATTATAAAAACTGCCTGCAGAAATAATTATCCACTAAAATTATAGGTTGTACACCAGATATGAGGCTCTATCAAGACTCTTTGAATGCATTCACCAGCTTTTTAAACAAAGGAGTTAACAGCCTCTAAAGCCCCAAAATAAATTTTTAACTATAAAAAAGGGAATGAAGGGAAAAAGCCATACAAAGTGCAACAGACGTTCTCCTATAATGAAAAATAGCACAAACGTGCTACAAAAAAAATCTCCATTTTCAAGCAAACGGCAAAAAAAGTTCAGCTCCGCACTATTTGTATCATATTCAGCAACCACAACAGTCTCAGCGCACAAAGTTCTAGACAACAGTATACCACAGTAACGATCTATAAAATACAAAAAAAGTGTATATATATTATCCTTATTTATCCAAAATATGAACTTTGTTGTGCAAGTGTTACAATTCTATAAGACACTCTGTGCCTGGAAATTCGGGCAGATTGAGTTCGTATTTTTTCTGCATGTCATATGGAAGAAAGCGTCCAGCCAGAAAGTGCTTCCCAGAGAAACTCGTGGCACACTTCTTGGGGACCGTCAGAGAGATGAGAACTTCCGGATTTATCCCATCTTTACTTGCTTCGTCTATGTCCCAGCCTTGACAGGGAAAAAGAAGTTGGAGAAAATATGAAACTCGGGTTTAAATGTTGCTGGTACACTTAAAGGAATACACCAGCATTATTCAACCACTGAATTTATAGGTCGATTGCCACAGACAGTAACTGTGATGCATTTCCCTGTGCTTAGAAAAGGGATCGAAAACCTGGTGGCTTATAATAGAGCTTTAATCAGGCTTTAAATTTTGGAACCCGAATACAGCCCGAGAATTTACAGTCTAAACCTGACCCGAGCCACATTATCAAGTTTTGTGTCCTAAACTGACCCAAGCTCAACAAAAAGATAAGTTAAATTACTGCATAGCGACAGCAATAGCCATCATCAGATCAGGGATGAATACAATAAAAAATAATATGAAGTAATGACATAATAATCATATGTCTAAAATTATGTTCCTATTTTAACAAATGTATTCATCAAGCAATGCTTTCAGAAAACATTCCAAAGTTTTATAGTCAGAATAAACTTTCCATAATGTGCTGCTCTCAAATTGTGCGGTGCTCACACTCTTAAAAAAGATGGTTCTTCAAGGGCTCTTCAATAAAGCCAGTGCTTCTGTATAGAACCATGAACACTCAAAGAACCATTTGCATCGTTACAGCATCCTTTGCTTCATGAAATAGTTCTTCAGATTGATGTAGAAATGTTGAAAATGGCTTCTGAAAATGGTTCTATGTAGCACCAAAAAGGGCTCTTTTATTGTTACAAGCTTGACATCGCCTTGACAGTGGAACCATGTTTGGTGCTATATAGAATGCTTTTCAAAAAGGTTCTATATAGAACCATACACAACACATTTTCCATCAATCTGAAGAACCATTTCATGATGCAAAGAACGCTTTAAGCATGCACATGGTTCTTTCTATATAGAACCATTGTCTTTACTAAAAAACCTTTGAAGAACCATCTATTTTAAGAGTGTAGATATTATCTTTTCTTCATCGCTGTCCAATGAAAAATGTGATTACATTTTTGCGATTTTTACTTTTCTGCATAATTTGAGCTCAGCAACTGCTCTTTACATTGTGCAAAAAATTCATCATGATTGGACCAATAGAAATGCTCCAAAATTGCTTAGAATAAAATCTCTTTCCATTAACTTACATTGAAAGTAAAGAACGTTTTTGCTCTCTCCTGTGAAGTTACTTGTTTTTCTTTGGACAGCGATGATATGTAACATATAAAAATATTGTTGGCCAAACAAATTAGACATCCTTTTGGCTGCACTCACCCTAAACTTATTTCAAACACCTCTATGTTCTCACAAGTGTGGGTCTCATGGACCCCTTTGCTTTCTGTAAACTACATGAGTTGGTGACTCCAGCATTCAAGGTAAGAAATTTTCATTGGCAACAAAAGTAGGGAGGATCAGTAAAAATGAAATGAGGGGAAAACTGAAGCAAAGGGAAATGCAGGTCACATCTAAAACCTAAAACTGAAAATTGGGAGGTGGAATTTTAACCTGACTCAAGACTAACACATTTGAGAAATGATGTCCGAACTCGAGGGGAGCAAATGGGTCCTGTCGGGTGTGGACAAATATTTCAAGTTCTAACTTATAACAGAAGCCAATGGGCATTTGCTGACACAACTGACAGTTGTTTTTTTTTATTATAATAAGTTCTTTCAAGCTGCATTATGTAAGATTCTTTTGTTAAAACTGAAAGACGTAGCATTACTGAGTTTGGGGGAAAAAAACTCTTTAAAATACTCTCTACAATATGGTGTACGTGTGTTGCTGTAAGTCGGCCTGTAAAGCCTGAAACAGTTATTTAAAAGTTCGGCAACGGGTCAGATTTTGTAGGAGTTTTTCAGACTATGCCATGCATCTTTATGCATTAACGTCACACACACAGGCTCAAAAAGAAGCCTTGATGTTTAGGTTTCAAATCCAAAATCAACATTATACTGATTTAGATATGATGACAATAGTAGATGTGTCATCTGTATCCTTGGAAGACACGTCCTTCACCAAAACTCTTTCACTGCTCTCACAAACATCAGATTCATCTGCTCGAGGAAGCGGCCCGACCCATGCTGCAAAATGTTTTTTCACACGTTGCATGCGATTACACATTTCCACCAGAGAGGGCACCAAATCCCCAAATCTTACATAGTGTAGCTCTAAGTTTTGTTCTTTCTCTAAATAGTGTTGAAATTGTCAATGGTTATCGACCCTGTGTTGCAGATGCAGCAGACGGAGTATTCCTTTAAGTTGTATTGTCTACAGAGCTGAAAGAGAAGCTACCTGAGGGCACGTCCACACTGGCGATGGGTATCTTCACCTGTTTAAGAGTAAGCAAAATTCCAGAATAGGGCTCCTTCACATCCTTTAGATCTGTTTCTGGGCCCAGGATAGCATCAATCACCAGATTATAGGCATCATTAATGAGCTGGACCTGAACAGCAAGAGCAGACAAGAACAAATGAGGCTTAGAAATAAACACTGACAGTTCATCGCCTTCCAGTCACTCTCTTTCTCTTTGTCATGATTTGCTACATGACACCTACCTCAGTTGGAAGATAAGAAAGGAAAGGAATATCCATCTTCTCGCACTGAACAGTGAAGTCCTGATGTAAGCTATTGGGGGAGCGCTTGGGATAAAAGATGGTGGGCTCGTACTCCTGACAAACAGAGAAGGAAACAAAGCAGTTCAGGCAGAATATGGATGATCTGTGAGGCTTCGAGCAGATACAGTGTCTGCAGTGCTACAGTAGTCCTGCTCCTCTGGGCCTCATCGGCTAGTTGGAGAGAAACGAGCGAAAATGGAAAACCAGACATGTTTGACCACACATGGAGCAGATGGTTGATGCTGTACCTCCATAAACACAATTTGTCTTCACTGCACTATTTAGTTTCTGCTGGTGACATGCTGGGAGGCACTGAGGAATGCAAGACTGCAAATCATCTCACATAATTAGCCTATTCATTTACAGAAGTGATGAAATGAAACTGGGCAAAATTTTGACATTTTACTCTTGAAATGTAAAATAAGGGATGATTCACACAACTATACGCTTTAAACTTTGAAGCACTTTTTAGCTTAGTAATGAAAAAAATGAATACTGAAGAGTAAATGATTAAACAGTGAGTAAAAGTCTGGATTGAAGGGATGTACAAACTTCTATTCTCAACTTCCCTCATGACCTGTGGACCAATTCTGAGATATGGAACAATTTAAGCATGAATCTGTCTAAGAGCAGTTTGGGGGCTATAAAAAGTTAAGTTACATCCCAGTGTTTTGTACATGCATCACGTATTTCAGTCAGTATTCAATTCATCCAGTACTACTTTTTAATTGAAAGCTTATGAAAAATGGGGAGTGAAAAAGAGAAGGTCAGTGAGTAACGTAGATTTGAGTAACGCAAGCTGGCCGAGAACTCATTTTTCTTCTTTTCCACTTTTTTGCATTATCCATGTCAACTACATGAATGCCACAAGGAGTATCCTTTAAATAAAACCTTTCTAAACAGAACATTACTGGACATCATGCTCCGTGTCCTGCAAGAGTCTCAATTACTGTTCACTGTGAATCTAGAAAAGAGCTCTATAAAGTTCAATCACATCCCAGCGCTCTGTGTACACTGACCATTTCAGTCAATACTCAATTCATCCATGACTTATGGGAGAAAATATGAACAGAAAGTTGATGGAGTTAGAAAAAGAAATGGAGAGTGAGGAGGAGAAGACTGGTAGAGAACACTGGGTGTAGAAGGCAGATTTGAGTAATGCGTGTTTCAGACAGCTGTACTGAGTCACTGACTGAGAAGCCATTTTTCTTCCTTTCTCTACTTTTTTGTATTTCCCACATCAAATACGTTGGTGCAAACAAGGTGAGTCTTTTTCTTCTAGAACGTTTCTGGATGTATCGCTCTATATGGTTGTATTGCAAGAGTCTCAATTATTAATGCAAACTGTAAATTTATTATGTATGCGCAAATGTCTATGAACATGCAGAGGAGAGCGAGGCCCGAACTAACACAGGGTAAAATGTAGCTTGGACATTTTATGTAGTCAAACGGGTTCCAGTAGAACATGCTTTGCTAACTTTCTTGTATTCCCATAACAACATCACCCGCAACTTAGGATAGCTAAGTTTTTATTCCTCCAAGAGGAGGAGTGTCAAACTCAACCACTAAAAGGGACATATTTAAAAAATCTCAACAAATTACAGGGCCTGAGAACATCTGTGTCTTTATTTCATTTTTAAATAATACTTTGCTATAAACTGTCCATTATTTATTCAAAATATGGCAAAACATCAACAGCAAAATATAGATGCTTGTAGTACATCTTGAAATATTACATGAAAACTTGAAATATTAAAAGGAAAAAAAAAGTCCCCTGGAGGCAGATCTTTTAAACCTATCTATGTACTTGAACTAACACACATTACGTTGCAGTGCATCCTGGGGATTGTAGTACAGGGCACTGAAAAACAGGTGAAATGGGCTAATATTAGTTGAAAAATAAAATAATTTTGTGGGACAGATAAGATCGTGTCTCAGGCCTGATGTGGCTCACAGGCCTTGTGTTGGACAGTGAGAAAATTATATATTCTCCCATTTAAATTTAAAACAATTCAAATTTTACACTTGACACACTAACCATATTAATTTTCAAGAATGTATTTCTATGTATTTACAGTGTGCAAAAGTTTCAGCACCCCAGGCAAATTACATCTTTAGTTGATTTTCTAAGTGAACATAAGTTAACACATCCTCTACAGAGAACACACTTCTACATATTTAATACACAATTTTTGTTTATTTGCTGTATTTAACAAATGGGGAAAAAATAAAATAAAACATAAAACGTAGTCTGTGCAAAAGTGCACATTTTATATGTTGTTATATTTTTTCCAATATGTTAAATCCAGCAAATAAACAGAAACTGTGCACTAAAATCTGCCAAAAAATGTCTGATTTAAGTTCCCTGTATAGGATGTGTAACTTAGTTTAAGCTGTAAAATCAACAAAATACGTAATTTGACAGACATTCTCAAACTTTTACATAGGACTGTAGGTTGAAAAACTGGTCTGGTTCAAATAGCACAGAATTGTATTTACCCAACTCCCAACTTACAAGTAGCTTCAGTCTGTTACAGCTAACCTTGTCTATGGGGCAGGTTTGCACTCATGCCACTTTCAGCTGAATTGTTTGTAAACGGTAGTTGCTGCACACAAAGTTTATGTCTTCATTTGTAGCTGAGACATGTAGGTTACTGTGTAGGCTGCACCCCACTCTCCCATATGTACCTTAATGCTTCAACTTTTGACAGTTATACCTAAACTCAAGATTCCCAGCAATGCCACAGCCATACTAAAATTACAGGATCAAATACTGTCCAGTGTTCATGTGCTGCAGGGTTTTAGTATGTTATCTCAGCACAATTTTGATCTGCTGTTGTATAAATATCATGGTTTCTGAAACGCTAGTCTTTCTCGAGCACTATTTTGCGTTTAGACTGTTTAGAGCAGAGTTATGTAATATGATTTCAGACACAGTTTAGCTGCTAGAGAATTTGGCAGTGACTAATACTGAAGAGAGAACAATGCTTAAAAAATGCTTTTGGATAAGAGAAGTTCAATCTGTTTTATGCATTCCCAGAATGTTATAACACAGAACTGAACACTCTCTTGAGTCTCTAGCCAAACCACAGTCTTTCAAAAATAGCAAACAGATCACTTTAGCAGATAACATCAATACCTTTTCAACAGCTGAATGCTGATTCTTCATAAATTTATCTTCTCTAACACATATGGGGAAGTTATATAGGAACATTATATTCTAAAACACATATCCTAAACACTTTCTTTTCCCCAGTAGAGGCAGAAGTCCTCCTCATAAAGCAGTATCTTCCTGTGTTTCAGCAGGACACGGTCGTTCTATGTCTCAGTTTATCATAGTGGTTACTCAATACTCACAAATATGCGCAGGTGACGGGCACACACCAGCCCAATGGAGCCATTCTGGTCCGGCCCGCAAATAACCAGCACTGTCGGCTGTTTCTTGCTCAGAGAGCTCAGAGGATAGGCCTGCAGAAAGAGAGAGTGAGAGAGAGACAGAGGGAGAGGTGCCACTGAGATGTCTCCATTTTGCCCAGGAGTAAGCCAAGCTCTTCATCACTGTCAGAGGATCTATCAATAGCACATCTGGGACAAAGGGGAGTGTTGGTATCTATAGCTTAAACCCATTACAATGGCCCTGTAACAGTTGTAACGAGTGGAAGACGAAGTAGAGACAGCACCGGGGGATGTAGACTTTAAATATCGCACTTTCCATTGGTCTTCTAAACTGGGCTGAGCGAGTGGTCAGCACTCATATTTTCCGCGCTGGTTCTCAGCTTCCTTGGCCTAAACATCAAGCTGAAAAATCCTTTGCGTCACATTTCCTACCAGTGACTGTTGTGATCATAGAAGTCTATTCATAACGCATGAGCAGATTGGCTCACTGTGTGACTCATACCAACACTTACCTGAATGTAAACTAGAAATATATTCATTCTCAGGTCAGAGTGAGCGATACGGCCAAAAATCTAATTACGATACAGTGTTTCAAACCCTGAAGAAAACAAAATGTCGGCATAACACTGACATGAACATGCCATGAACATCTCATAGCAGATGTCATATGTTGCTTTGACAGATTATGTCCATTGATTCAACAGTGAGTGTGTTTACATGCACTCAATAATCCGATCATTATCGGATTTCTGCAGTTATCTGATTATTCAAATGGTCATGTGAACACCATACTCCCATCTAGAAATCTGATTAAGAAATCCGATAAAAAAGAGTTGCTTTTTAACTCAGTAATCAGATTTCTCAGTGCATGTAAACTCTTACTCAGATTTCTTCTTCTCACGTCTTCTTCTGTGAGTTTATCAGCTGGTTGCAAAGCAGAAATCTGATTACTATCTGACTCATGTAGACCCGGAGTTTTCACATTATCTGATGACCCAAATACATGTAAATGCGTTGATCGTATTACTGACAAAATCTGATTTTCTGTGGTTATTGGATTATAAAGTGCATGTAAACACACTGTCATTCGACCAATACTGGTAATTCTCTTGACAGATACTGTTTGTTATGTCATGACTTTAAATTAGCATGTGATATAAACTGTCCTGACGTCAAACACTGTAGCTGTCATTACTATTACAAGCAATGATAACATGATGCTGTTATATTAATGGACCTAATCTGTCGTGACAACTCACAACAGCATATCCCATCTGCCATGGCATGTTTATGGCATTATTATGTCAATCACTCTTAAAAAGATGGTTCGTCAAGCATTCTATAGCAAAGACGTGAACACTCAACGAAGCATTTGCTTGCTTAAAGAGTTTTGTGCATCAAGAAAACGTTCTTCAGATTGATGGAGAATGTATTGTATATAATAGCTTCCTAACTCTGCTCACGGTCCCGCTGGTTTGTGCTGTTGTGAGTGAATGGCTAGACTCCTTCTATCTCACAGTCAAGAGAGTGAAAGCTGCCTCTTAGTGCAGCAAATTTACAACTATTCAAAATGCCTGCGCTGCTACTACCAAATTGAGGAGAACAACACAGTCATTTCTTTGAAAAAGCCTCAAACGCATATAATCGCCATGGACAGAAAGGTCTGATTTCTATAATTATCACCCTTGCCTATTCTCAGGGTTTTGTTCATTCAGAAACCACTTCTGCATTTTAACTGGTCCCCTCTCATATATGATTCATGACTTATTACCAATTTCTGCAGTTAAATGTGGGTGTAGTTGTTGATTTCTGAGCGGGTGAGGAAGTGTGGCAGTAATGAAGCTAATGGCACTGGGGATCTGCATAATCAGTTAACAGAGATGTTCCATTAGACCTAATCAGATGGCAAGGATGCTCCGCTGGCGGCTGTCTGAGACACGGTGCTAACAATGGAGGCTGAGAATGCATCTGCCATGATTTTTATAGCTTCAATATCACAGGGTCTTTTTCCCTTTCTGGCTTTTGCTGTCACTGTTGCTCTGAAGATTCTGATGATATGAACAATCTATCAATCTATCTGCAGACCTACAGCGGGTGTGTATATGAAACGGAGTGCAAAATTCAGTGGGGCGTGGGTGTGTTTATTTAAAATGGTCTTTTTCTCTCGCTGTCTCTCTGTCCTGCTGTAGCCCCTGCCCCCTCCACTCCACCCCACTGTCTGCTTTGGAAAAAGAAGGGCAGTAGAAGGTGCTTTGGGCCCGGCGGCCAGAGGCTGTCTTGTTCTGTTCTTTTACAGGTCTGCTGCTGCAGGATGGAATGCTGCGTGCGTCCAGATCCTGCCAGGTCTCTTGAGGCTGCTGCTTCTGTTCATTCACACTGTGAGCTCACAGCTGTCCACACTAACTCACTGTTCATGTACTGGTTTTAATCCTCAACTCTGTCCTAAGGGCAGTTACATTGCTGCATTAACTCAAGAGAAGTTTGTAAAATGGTCAATAAATGTAGACTACAGCAGGAGCAGGAGGAGGAGAACTTGCCCAGACCAGAAATGATTGGGATTTGATGAGTTTTTTCAAATGTTCAAAAGTTTTCAAATGTGAAAAAATGGCAGATACAGCTGTTTATAGGCCAGAGCAATAAGATCCTTCAAAATACTTACTATTTCAAGAACCGGCACATTCGATTTGCTGTGTTCATATTGGGCAAACTACAACTGTTATACATGACCGCTGATTTAACTTTGTTACTAGCTAGCTTGCTAAGGTCTATAGAGTTGGCCTTATCATCAGAAGATACCCGGTGATGCTACAGCCATCCGTGGCCGAGAGTCCAAGAGAGCACAGTGAGCAACGACCATTGTCAAATGACAATGTATTTGCAGCGGTTGGAAAAGATGCGGAGGCACTTCACATGACTCGGAGGAAGCTTGTTTTTGACCCTCCTACCACTGGTGGTATCATGTGACGGGGAGAGTCCTAACTAGTGGACTGAACTGGATACGACTAAATTGGGGAGAAAACTGGAAAAAAAAAAACAAACAAAAAATGATTCACAAAATGTACACTTTTCACTGTATGATGCTTAGACTTCTTTCAAAAATGGTTTACATTTCCAAGTTTCCTTAGCTATCTAATTAGCTCACTGAAGCTAGCTTAACTAAGAGCAAGCACATTTTTTTCAGATTTTTATCCAGTTTTCTCCAAAATACAGTTATGACCATAACATCAGGTCTTTATGCAATGCTACCAAGCTTGGAAGGTGAAGGTTAGCATGTCCTTCCTCTGAGACACATTAAGCCTGCCACTAACACAGCATCATTGGACAGCTAAAAGCATTTGGAGGAGAGCAATAATTCCCAATTCTGTTAAAAGTCGCCCGCACTGGCTAGCATCATGCTGAGTGAAGGAAGAGGGAGGCCCAACCTACCCACCCAGAGAGAGTCTGATTATGTTGTCTTGGAATCCCAGCCACGGATGGCTGTGGCATCCCTGGGGATCAAACTCATACTTAAACAGTTGCACCACTAAGGATCCCAGCAAGCACATTCCTATTAAAAATCTGCTCCTAGTTATCCCCTCCTCTTCTTGTCCTGATGAGTGCCATGAGGGCCAACGTGAGGTGAGTGGGATATGGCATTATTCCCAGTGCTAGTTCTTAACCTTTTGATGGGTAGCATACATGCACACATTTATGCATATAAATGTCCAACGTATTTCGTCAACATTCTCCTCTCTCATGGTCAAATGGGCTGTGCTAATCTGGGGCAGTACATTTGTAAACACTATCTTCACTAGTAACAAGACTGAAGTGGGTTGTCCTGCCCACATATCTTCGACATCACTATGTTCCCCAATGCCTCTTCTGTCTGTTCAGGTCAGAGAAACTTACAGAGAGAAAGCTAAAAACCAAGCGAAAGCTAACCTAGCAAGCATAACTGAGCTGGTAAGAATGTCCATTCATCCGTTAGTTGGTCAGTTAAGTGAATATGAACCTTACATTCTTCAAGACGTTGCCATATAAAAGCCTGGTAATACTTTTAGCGAGCCATAGACACAGTGGGGTCTACAACACCACCTGTGTATGTAGAGCCCATACCCACTCATTTTTCCCCGCTTCGCTCATGCTGTTGTGTTTAGTTCAGTGTATCAGGCTGGGAGCCGTGGACTGAGGGCGTCAATCACGTGTGCACATCAGAAATCTAGGACCATGTGTGTTTAGACAGATCTGATCAGCTATATTTCAGCCAGGTTTTATTATATTTCTATCTCGTTTTTTAATTCAAATGTTGCAGGACGCTTAATATAATATAATAATTTTAGTGTCATTTTTTTACACTGTCTACAATGTTTTCCCTGGAACTTTAAATAATGGCAGTTCAGGTACTGATGATCTTTTGTAGCTGCAAGAAAACACTGTGTATTCAGATGTGATCCAGTATGGAGAATTCCCCAGTCAAAACACACAGACTGTTACGTCAGTCAGTGCGATGAAAAGAACTTCCCGATCACAGACATTGGCCTTGGAACACTTCACAAAGCAAGTGCTTAGCCTTGAGGAGGACGGATGAAGTTTGTTTTGGCGTTTGGCCTCTGGGCGAATAGCTTGGTTGTGAAATCAGACGAGTGGTAAAAATCTGACTACTGTGCTTTTTCTTCAAACAACAGCGATGATGTCATTTCAGGCTCTGAGCTGTTGACCAGCATGTTTTTCTAAGTCGCAATTTATGGCGTCCCCGCAGAGGCCAGTGAGGGGTTTGTTGATGCTAAATGTGATGAGGGGCTTGTGGTCAGAACCCTCAGAGGAAGCAAAGGGCCAGTCAGTAAAACGTCTCCAAGTGAGAGAAGAAAATTTACGCTTAGAGGACATCCATCAGGAAACAATCGCAGGGTTCACAGCACACTCAGGTAAGTCACGGGGAGCCTTTCGGCCTGACTGAATCCAGATGGGCCTACTGGTCTGATTTGGCCTGAGTTGGACAGAACCAGCCAGGCTCTCCGGTTCTGTCTGGCTGGCCGCAATCGAGGCCCCATGACTGCCTGGCTGCAGTCCAGCTGCAGACTGAAGAAACCCTTAAACATGCTCAGTGGCAGTGCCTTAAAATTCACCATGGGGTTTTTTATGCGATGGACCCTGGAAGCCGTCGCGTCTGACAAGTCGTCTACATGAGCGGCAGATCAAAGCCGCAGGCTCTTTTCATGCCTGCTCTCTCCAGCTCTCTTTAGGGGACTGGATTTAAGCTGTCGTGCGGGGACGCAAAAATTGAGATGATGAAAACAGAAAAGTCTGAGCCAGAGGAGGAAAACAGAGCTGTGTGGTCTGTTAGATGTATGTCCTTCAAAGCCTTAGAGCATGGAGTGGAGGTCACAGTTCGCTACATGCTTCAAGTAAATGCCGTGTTCTTCCACATCTTGCTTACTTCATTCACTCCAGTTTCCAAGTCTTGCCCTGTGATAACCACTTATTATGTCTCATATCAGTTTAATGGGCATCAATTAATCCTATTCCTGTTCTTTTCATTGGCGATTCACCCTTGTGCTTGGTTTAGACCAGTGCTGGCTCTAATATGTCTATATCTGTATATTGGACAGTTTTACAGTTATGTATATCGTCACTGATATCAAAACATTGTAACCCTTTCAAAAACTAAACAGCATCTGCCTTTTACATTGTATGCATGAAGTATAGTAGGGCTGTAATGATGCACCCGATTCAATTCATGATACAATATTCTGAACAAAGGTCAAATAGAATAAAGTTTTGACTGTAATTATGTTACTGCGCAGCTTACTAATAACACTAGAGCTGGGAGGCAGGAGAAGTGCTGGTGTGAGCTGCTGATTGGTGCTGATTGCTTGCAAATTTTGGTGTAAAACCAATGAAATTGCACTACGTGGTGTAATTAATAGAATGTCCTTAACACTTTTCTTGAACCCTGCTACTTAACGCTGGCATAACCACACCTTAAACATGTCATGGCAGATGTCATATGCTATTATAAGTTATCATGAGAGACTCTGTTAAGTAATATAACAGTGTCAAGTTACCATTACCAGTTATTGTTTTGAGAGACGCCATGATATTTGAAGTTACGACCGCTTATGTCACATGCTGATAGATGACTTCAAACATGACATCAAACATTATAGCATGTCATGACAATTACCAATAATAGTAATAAGACACTGTTATATTACTGGACGCAATCTGTCATAACAACTTATGACAGCATATGACTTGATTAAGTCATGGATGTGTCAGTGTTATTTAGCAGGTTTGAAGTAAAGTGTTCCCAGAATGTTCATCCTACACAATGCACATTGTCACTGAGTGGCACTGCAATATCATAATGTCATGATGCTTTGTTACACCTCTAATGAATGGACCAATAGCAATAGCCCAAAATTACTTGGAACAAAACATCCTATTACAATAACATACATTAAAGGTAAGAATTATTATGGGTCTCCTACAAAGTTACCATAAAACATACTTTGGTGATGGCGATGGCGCTGGCATGACCCCATATCTCGATCAGCTGCTGCTGTCCAAAGCGATAGTCCCTCAGAAGCTCACTCTCAACAGCAGCCATCTCCTTTTTACTGGAGAGAGAGAGAGAGAGAGAGAGAGAGAGAAAGAGTGAGTCAGTTTTGAGTGATCAGATTTAAAGACAATACTATGTAACCGGTGCATCAACACAAAACTCAAGCAGCACTTTTTAAAACTGTATTGCTGCTATGCTTAAGATTGCAGTAGGTGCTGTTACATGAAGCGAGTCCAGCATACAGTGTAGTGCTGCGGTCAGAGTATGTGTTTATTCTTAGTGTGCTGTCCCTGAGCATCTTCTTGGTGTTCTTCTTCACAAACTGAGTGGTACTTACTATATTGTGGCCGTCCAAAGAAGAACAAGTATCTTCGACATAACAGTTTTGCTTTTAATGGTTGGTTGCTGTAAAGAGATTTTATTCCAAGCAATTTTGAAGCATTTCTATTGGTACATTCATTATGAAATTTTCACACAGTGTAAAGCTGGTGTGCTCAAATAATGTAGAAAAATGCAGATACTTGTTTTTATCTGGACAGCGATGATATTAAAGATTAAGGAAGTCATTTCTGAAGTTTTGTTGTCCAGCTAAGCTCGTCCAGTTAATCCCTTAAAAAGCCATTATCCCAAATTTCTATCCTAATTATGTGCATTTATCCTGCATTTTTTTTTCTTTGAGGTCCACTTATAACGTTTGTATGAGTTTGTGTGCCAAAAACAGACACTTTTTATTTACATGAACATTTCACAACCTCTCTTTATCACTTAGACTTAAACAGGCTTCTTTTGTCTCTGCTTTTAACTTTGATTATACAGAAATGATCTCTGTTCTGATTGGCTGTCCTGTATCGGGCCTCATTTAGAAAGCAGTCCGGGCTGAAGCACTTCTTACTTCAGTGTGAATGGGTGGGGCTAAAGTGTAGCCTCGCCCATCCATGTAAATTAGGACTGTCAAACGATCACAACATTTAATCATGATTAACTGCACTGTCCAGGGTAGAATGGTCCTCATGTGTCAGCATTACTGACATTACTAATATAACAAGGCAGTAACTGGAATAATTGTGTTTTTATCAAGAGAGATGTCAGTGCAGATTGCCATCACAGCTTGCCACTCTACCATCGCAGAGTCACAGCTATAGCACATGAGCAACTGGACTTCAGTCTGAACTACGGTTGGTTAATAGGATTTAACTAGGAAAATGCATTAACAGCATTAAAGGCATTAGTGCTGTTAGTAATTTATCACATTAATCTGTAATTAGCTTGTTAACTTTGCCACCAACTATGTAAATGCATTGGTTTTGTGATCCCACAAAAACATTTCATTGAAAATATAATATTATAACATACTTTCCATATATGGACTGCATGCACTGGTGAGTAAATGGTACATTCCGACTGTTTACTCATTCAAATTTGGTTTTCCCTTATTTCGGCCTTTTAAACTAGAAGCTTATTATTTCATTGTTAATCGTATGACGTATTATTCAATAACTACACTGGAAAAAGTGGTTAAATATACATGATTCGTGCACATCGGTTCCACACAAATGACATATAATACATCAACTTTTAACTGAGCCAAGTGTGCCCCTACAATGAAAAACAATATATGAAACATTTCAACGTTTTTTGGATTATTAGTCTTATTTTATACACCCTTTTACATTAAAAAGCTATGCTTTTTTATGTTTTAGTGACACCTTTATTTAAATATGGCCATGCTTACATGATTTTTACAAAAAAAAACGTATGTTTTTCATTGCAATGGCTCAAATAAATACTTCCACATAGCAACTATGTTGATGTAACATATCTTATTCATGTGAAGCCAATGTACACATTTGAGTCAAGTACATTTAAAGCAACCTTTGAGCACCTTTTTTCAGTGTTTACTATGAATCTAATATATAAGTTTTGTAGTTCTGTGCTTGAGCAATTGAAGTGTGGGCCCACATTCAGGCCCTCAGGCTTAAAGATAGTCTGTCAGCATTCACAGCTGATCCATCTCTATGTTTTTTGATGTCTTACAACTCGCCTACATTGTAAAACATTGCTTTTGGACTGGAGGTTTGGAGCTCTCACCTGCAGTCATTTTCACTCGGTTTCACTCAGTTTCCAAGACAGTGAGTTCACTGAGTTGCATGTGTAGGTTTAGCTGCAGGCGAGTGGAGGACCAGGGGGAACGAACACATATAAAAGTGAATATATGTTGTTGTGCTGGTAATATTATTCACTCTCCTCGCTTCATAAATGAAGTCGTTCAGCGCTCTCTCTCAATTGCTCTCGCTAAAAACTCTTCGACTTAATGAGTGTTGTGTTGAGAGCGCTCAACCGTATGTCAAACTGCAGCCTCAAATGAATCTGTGATAATTATGACTAATTAACTCTGTACTTTTCCACTCTCTAAAAGCACAGTGATGAGACGAAAACATTTTCTTTACACGGAAAGGAAAATAAATAAATTCATTTTAATGAGCAAATTGGTCCCAAAATGTCCTCATCTGCTATTTAATAATATGCACAGGCAAATAATGGTCAAAGCTAGAATTACCTTTTAAGAAAGCAGCCCATCAGCATGTTCAGCTGCAATTCCATTAAAACAGTGAATGAAAAAACCAACGCAAAACAAATCAATAAAGCAGAATTCACAGTAGGCTATAAAATGGACTGTGCTCCTGTTCTATCAGCATGTAAGGTTTATGTCCAACCATAATTTACTACTAATCAAGGCCATAAGGACCACTAAGGCCAAATATGGTAGATTAGGGCTGGAACCAAACTCAGCAGGGTGGTGGAATCTCCAGCAGCAGGGCTGAGCACCCCTGCTATAAAGCGTACTGTCATATTTAGGCTCTGATCATTGAAATGCTAAAGGTCAGCTAGCATTTATTTGAATCAGTAGAACACTTTGATCATTGTGCAAACCTGCTGCATGGGACGTTTGGGCCCCGTGGCATTTGCAGTCTCCGATAGAGCATCACAGCTGTCAACCTGAGAGTGCAGGCGGTTGCTTCCTGGCTTACTGTGATACAGTGATATTTATAAAGTTCACCTCGGTCTGGTGTTTTTTTTTATCTTCTTTTTTATTCATCCATTTATGCTACAGGTCGCACTAATTTTAACATCATGTTTGTGAGCTTAATTTTGAATTTTCTAAAAAATGAAGCCATGGCCTGACTGCTCTTTTGAAGCACAGATATATATACAGGGGGTCCAAAAGTCTGAGACTCCACTGAAAATGTGGGATTTTTAAAATTTAAACCTGGAAAAAAACAACAAAAAAAGTTTGATTTTTTTTTTAAATTACACAAAAATACTTATAATACTCATCACTGTATTTTATATGCAAAATGGGATGACGTTCTCTAACAGATGGAATTTACATTGTCTTTATTTATTTATTTATAAGGCCCTAATTGGTCAGTTGCCCCATATATTTCTAATCTAGCCTGTAAATTCTGCTGCTTATACCAGTCATTCCAATGACTGGCTTACACTTATGGTTCTACATGTTCTTTTTTTTTGGGGAAAACTGGTTTTAACTATAGTGCACCACTAAGCAGGAAAAATTTGCAAAGTAGTCTTAAAATAAACTCTGCTGTTTAATTTCTCATTACTTTGTGTAATGGTTTTAGTATTTTATCGCTTATCTCTTTATCTCTTTCTGTCTTTATTATTCGTCATTGTCCATCTCATCATTTTTAACAAGATATTATTACTTTATTTATACTTTTTTTATTTTATTTTATTTTCATTTAGTAAATTTTCACTTAATATATTGTGTGCTTTGGCCATGTCTCAGCTACTTTAGAAATCAGAGCTTTCCTCAATGATCTCAGAGTCTAAATAATCAACAGCAACAACAACAACAACAACAATAATAATAATAATAATAATAATAATAATAATGGTTAGGCCTAATATATACACATTACAGACTACTTTCATTTTTAACAAACCTGGCACCTACAACAAATGCACTAATGAAATTCAAGCACACTGTCTGCTAACTGTGGTAGCAGACAGTCCACAATCTGTTATTAGTATTATTCTTGGCATGAACTTAAATGTGACAAATGAACTGCTGAAAATATTAAGCATCTGTTGAGTAGTATGATATCTCAGTGGAAAACAGCTGCAAACTCCCTTGGTACAGATGAATTTGAGGTACTTTTGGACAGGCTGCACTGAGCAGGTCTCACCACCAGGGGGAGATGCAACTCTGATGTGATATCATCTGGCTCTGCGTTATTACTTTTCTGTGGTAAGTGTAATTACACTGGTACATTCTATTATGTTTTTGAGCCATAGGCGTGGTCTGGATGAATCTACTGAATTCTGGAAGTGAAGCTGAAATCAAAACTGACCCGTTTTACCTCATTAGCTCAAGTCTCTGGTAATATTAAGCACAAAATAAAAATCCTTATCTTCCATCAAAATATAGTGACTTTCACCTGCCTCTAAAATGTCTTCTGATTTTTGATGACATCATCTTGCACCAGTGGACGGAGAAAAAATCATATAATAATCTAATGGCCTCCCTTTCCCACGAATCCCACCTACCCTCAAGGGACTTCTGATTTATGTTGACATTAAGACACATTCAGTAACTACATGCACAACAAAGGGAAATGCGTTATTAAGTAATAGGTGTGAGAAATTAACATTAAAAGGTTCACTATTTGAACAACACATTTAGGCTAAGCTCTCACACAATGCACAGACATATGCATGCACGGATTCACGGCTAAAGAAGCGACAGTAACACGCTCTATGTTCCCTTGGTGTCCCACCGTCCTCCCCTGGAGTCTCCAGTAATTTCCCCATGGGACATCGCGCTCCCTGCCATATGCAGACCATACAGAACTGCTGTAATTACATGTCGGTTAATGAGGTTGTGTACCTCATGCAGACTGCAGGCCGGCTGAACACACACAGCGGAGCTGCGACAGTGTCTCCCGCACAGGGGCATGCACACACACCCACACACCGAGCCCTTAGTGCTCCTCGTGACTTCAAAACAGCCCTCGTCCCTCAGGAGCAGAATGTCAG